TGGTGATTTACAATGCTTTACACCATTCATCAGAGTAGAAGATGCCCCTGGTCGATGGTACTTCACATTTTGCTCACACCTGCATTAAACTTCTCATTTTTTTAAACACACATTGAACCGCTTCGAGCCAGTGTACATGGAAAAACAAACAAAAACATTATCGTGCATCTTCAGAGGTTTATCATCCTATCCAACCACAGAGACCCCCTCAACTGGAATATTCAGGTGCGATAACAGTACAACAGCACCTGGAAACTTCCAGAATAAAGATAACCTAGGAGAGACCTGCTGTTTCCAATCAGCACGTTCCTTCCCTCATGTTTAACAGAAAAACACATGACTGTTGTGACAGAAACCCATAGATGTTTCCTCCAATATAATCAGTTATGTCACTGTTTACTTGATAACAGCTAAAAGGCGGCAGGCCGTTAGTTTGTGTCTTTTCTGTCCATTCCTGCTGTCCCTGTGAGAAAGCTGGACTTGGCATTGCCTTGACCACGGCCTTGATCCACTTGACACGCACACAAACACGCGTGCTCGCAAACAGACTCTTTTACGTGAATGCAAGAAGAACAATAAACCAGCATATGGTGACCATGCTTTTGATAAATCCGTTTTTAGTATGCACATATCCACTGTAACATCCTACAAAATGTAAACAAACTGCTGCCAGACTACTCCACCTAAACCTGTCCCTACATGGCAAATAAGAGCGTACAGGCAAGAAACCCCTCGCTTTAAAACATTATGCAAAGAAGGTCTAATTATTGTCAGATGAATGCGGGGCTGATTTCAATGAAAAAAAGAAGTCACTCAGTGAAAACAAGCTGGGTGTGCTGACAGCCAAGGCAAGACCACAACTTATTTAGGAAAAGGAAAAAGCGCCCAGCCAAGGAGAATTTCAACAGAAAGATCCTGAACAAGTCTCCTCATGTAGAAACAGCATATATATGTGCACATCTAACCCACAGACTCAGCTTTCATTATCAGCAAAGAGACAACAAGAGTTCCCGATGGTTTCTATTTCATATATTATCACTGAGCTGGTGTCAAAGCAAAATGGAGAGAAAAGACTTACCTGATGAGTGGAGAACGGTGGTCTGTGTTGCCCAAACAGTGTCTCTGAGATCATGGCTAAACAGAGGCAGAAAGGTTGGGTTCTGTAAGTATTGAGAGTTGGACAAACCCTTGAGAAGCAGAACCTACTTTCCCATAGGCCTATTCTGGCAAGCTTGCCATCATCCCCTCTATGTTTCCATGGGGGGCAGCAGGACTGATCAGCTAGCAGTCACTGCACCATTCAGGATAGCAGAGCAGGGAGAATGTGTACTTGTTGAGGGATGGAAAAGGGAGGAGAAAGGAGCTGGGGGCGGGCACGGGGAGTGAACGGAGCAGCAGAGGTTGGCACTGTAAGTACAAGGTGGAATGAGTCTCCAGGACTCACAAACAGCCTGCGCGAAATGACTGTGTTAACCGAATAAACTGTGCAGGAGGAAGCTTCAAAAACACAGCAATGAGGAATGCGCTCAGGTTCGAGAGGAAAACTGTGAAGCGCCGGGATTCAGAGAGCATGTCAGGTTTTATTTCTGTGGGAAGATTTCATGCTGAACCAAAAACAAAAGCATGCAGCCTTTGACACATTGTCAATTCAGCTAAATCAAGATAAAGATACATCTTGCACAAAAACTCTGTTTTCAAAGTATCACATAAGAAGTATCAATATTTTCTAACTTCCTTAGAGTGAGTGATATTTATAACTATCAATTTAGTCTTTCCCCATTGTCCACATGATAAAGAATGATAAGGTTGCATAACGAAGTTGCAGGAGGCCCACAAAAGGCTTTGTCTCTCATTAAAATATAAGCTTGGTTGTGCACATGTTGACCCTATTTGACATAAAATGTGCACGGAACTTGTTTATTGTGTTTGTTTTAATGAAAGGACCAAAATGGAGGAGACGCAGAGGGAACGGACAGGGGCAACAGAGAGAAGTCTGCCAGATCTGTGGAGGTAAACAGTCCAAGGCCGGTGGGAGTGAGAAGAACTCACTTTATACCCAGCTGGATGTTCTCACAAACTTATCCCAAAAAAAACACACACACACACAGAAGGAAAAACATTGGCTGCGCTTTCCTAGAAGTGAGAATCAGCAACACCAAGAGTTTGATTTGTACTGAATGAGCCAAATTGCTTGTGGCCATAATCATTTTGTTTTGAAGATGGAGTTCATGCCGCTTTCAGACTCACTCCTGAGCAGATTATATCATAATTATATCATTACAAAACAGAGCACAGCATCTATTTTTCCATGACCTTCGAAACTAAGACTCATGATTCTGAAACTATGGTCAGGTGCCACAAGGAAAACGTTAACATGTAGGGCGGATTTTTTATGTGTTGTTTGCCATCAGTTTAACCTGCTATCACCTTATATTTAGTTACCGTGACCAATTAATAACAATGTCTGTATTTTATTCAGGTTACAATTTTAAAACTTCTCTGCGAAGGGCTTTGAAAATGTGTAGTCCTTACAGGGTTAGGCCACCACCTAAGCAAACATAAGCTTTAATACCTAAAGTAATGTCTTAAGCAAGTTAGTATGGTACTTGTAAAGAAAAATGTGTTGAGAACAAGTTTTTACAAATGTGCATATGTATGATTCAATAGTCAATAGAAATAAAATGATCCCTTAAAACACCGATTAAGTGGATTCAACTTAGCTTTTCCTATAAAAACTCTAAGTGCTTTAAGTTGTCAGTTTGTAGTTAAACTTAAGCTTTCAGAAGTCAAAGGGCTCTATATTGTGTTATCATCATGGAATGTCACCTTTGAAGATTGTTCCAAGCAGAGCTGTGGTGGAATCAATGAAAAATGACAAGGCTTCCTGCTGCAGATCACTGCTATGGCAGCTATGTCAGGACTGGGTGATAGCATGAGGACACAGACGTGCCACTAAAGCAAACTGGCAGAGACGGCAGGCATACCGAGGCTCAGAAATAGCAGGTGGTTAAGATCTGTACCAGCCCCTCAAAGAACAGACAAATGTAAGACGAGGAGGAGCTTCATGTTTTATTTTGGCTGATTTTCAGAGTGATAAGAACTGTCCATATCTAGTCTATTCCCTATTCAGCCACCATAACCCACAACTGGACAAAAATATATAACGACTGAAACTGATTAAGTTCATTACAAAAGGATTACATTGGAGGATATATTATATTTCTGAACATTAACATTATTCATTGGCTACTTGACGTTTTGTTTCCATCTGGATGCTCTTCTTGTCTTTTCTTTGGAAATGTGACGGGAACGTATTGAATCAAGCATGTTGAAGATACACACACTGACACACTTCCTAATTCCTAATTAAAGCAAATAAATGTCAAGATTTACAAAAACATAAACGTCCCACAAATGTATAATCTATTTATGTGTGATGAGCTGAAAGACATTCATCTTTTCTAAAAACAGGTACTTTATCCCTCTCAGTTTTCAGTTTGGGATTAATCAGTAGCCCGCTGTTGGCAGTCATTTTACCTGCTGCCTCTGCTTATCAGGGAACCCATGCGCCTGTCAGTGTGAAGACATTTTGAAGTACCTGTGGTTTTCACTTGACACAGTGAGATGAAAGTGGGGGGGAGAGAATGAGACCAGCTGTGTTGCTGAAACATGTGGCAGGTTTGCCTGCCAGCAATGCAGCGTGTTCTTCACAGAGCAAGAGAGAGTTTTTTAGGTCGGGACACACTGACAGAGACCAACTACCGGTACAGTGTGTGCCTGTCTAACAATTCATCTGCTTTTTCTACATTAGCTGCTTTCACATTGTGCTACAGTTACTGTGGTGTTAATGCTGCACACACACTCTTATGACATCCAAACTGTGCAGTGTTGTGGCAACAATACAAAAGGCAAACATCATTACAAAAAACATTCCAGCAATGCCACAGTCTGACTCAATATCTCTGCTGCTTTTTGACTCCCCTTCAGATTCCCAGCATACCAACGATCATGGGCAGATGTTCTGAATTATCAATTCTGTCTGCGGTTTCACGCTGTCACTTTCTAAAAAGCTGCTCAAATCAGCGCACGGCTATCGTGCATGAGTGGATAACAGACAGCACCAGCCCGCTTTTCATACAGGACTCAAACAAATTCTTCCTTTTAGGGCCTAACTTTGATTTCCAACTCACCACGGGTTAATTCAGAATCATAGAGAATGCCCTTACATCTTAACATGTTGGTATTGTAATTGAACAGATTTCTTCTCTAATCACACTAAAAGGGAACTAGATGGTGATTAGCATGCCTTACAGTTAGCTGTGGAATTTCCTTGATTAATTGAACAGCTGCTTGCTGACAAAAAGGATAAGATGTAAAATGTTAACACTGTGTCAGTAGCGAGTATCAAAACACTTTCATATGATCTAAGCAGATAAAAACAAAACGATGATCTGTAATATTTTCGAACTCCATCAATTGTAAGCTACTTCATTCAACAAAGATGAATATGTAATTTTAATATGTATAGTTTAATATATATACCATGCAGCCATGAAAATTGTTCTTGTTATATCACCAAGATACCCACTTAAAGAATATTTTATATTTGTAATTCTTAATTCTGTTTTCTATTTACTAGAAACACATTTTTACTACCTGCTATTGACACAGTCAAACATCGCATTGAATCAGTTGCTAGAAGTGTTTCCTCAGACCCCACGAGAGATATCAGTGTTGGCAGGCCGCAGGCCTCGATCTGATTGGCTAACTGGCTGGAAAAGATGAGCTTTTGCGGCAACTGCACATCTGAACGTTGACAAAACAACAAGACTGAGTTAACTGTGGTGAGGACATTCCTAAACAATGAGTACTGCCTGAGAATACAGATAGCATTATTAAGATCCAGCGTGCATGAATGGAGTGACAGGAACACGTCTGTAGTAGTAAATTATACCGTGGCAGGCACGCTGCTCACAGCCTGTCTGTGATTACAGGAGGGCATGAATGGCCGAGGTGGATATCAATGGGAACCCGCCCTGGAGGAAGGAGGCAGCAGGTCCTCGCCGTCATACACCGGCGGCAGCTACAAATTAATTCACCCCAACAACAACAACCCCTGTCCTCGCCTGCCGAGACACGCTCTGCCAACCCCAGCAGTCAGGCAGCAAATTCCTCAGAACGATGAGGCGGAGGGTGAGGATGAAGGAGTCTGTTGGCGGCTTTAAGTTGAGATAGTGATGTTGTGTAATTGACAGGTTTGCTCAAACCCAGCCATTTGATCCAAACGTTGCACCACTTTGACCCCCTTTTGCTGTGGGACCCTGAAACAGATGACGGGGCTGTTCTGTCTGAGGGAGCAGGGCTGCTAATGCTGTTCCACTGTGTGAGCAGTAATATTCATATAATATAATCTTAAAGTATATTATAATCTTAAAAACGGTTGCCCTGAGGGAGACTGAAAACTGACTGTCAGCTCTGCTTCCTTCCGCATGATAGAAAAGTGTTAAAGAAACCTAAAGATGCTTCATCCTTAGCGTGTGTCAGCCATCCATCAGGTGTGTGTTGTTTATATGAAAACTGATTGGAAGAAAGAACTCCAGTATCTATCCTCAAATTATCTAGCATTTCAAACATTGTAAATGTCACCCAGTAACAGAACTGATCCTGAACAGGCAGATGGATGAATGGATGAATGGGTTGATGGATGCATGGAGAGATGGGCATAGTTGCTGTTTTTATTATATCTGATTATCCCACTTTTGGCGGTTCATCATCAGTCATATTAGCAAGTGTTTAAAAAATAATGGCCGCCTGAGGCCTTTCTTAAATATGTCTGCGAATTCATGTATACCTGGAAGTGAATTTGATTTCTCCACAAAAAGCAGAGAAACCTGAAGTGTGTGATAATTACCTGTATTTTGTCAGAAGAGTAAACCCCTGCTGTGATACGACATAGTAAGACAAATGTGTAATTCATACAGAAAATAATGAGATAAGGAAAGAGAAGTTGGGAAGAACAGTGCTGATGAATTTATATAACCTCTTTCACCAGCACAGAGCTGCACAATCTCTTTGTCACGATGAATTAGAAACCTCCAACCTCCAGAAAGAGACCTGTCTCTTCCCTCATCTCTCTCTTGATTTGAAATGGCTGTTAAAAGAAAGCGTAGTCAGTAATTGATTTTGCTTCTCTAATCTCCTTTCTCAATTATGCAGAGGTTTCCTCTCTGCACCTGGGGCTAACACACATGCCTTTTTTGTCTCCTGACCACGAGTGCTCCTGCTTCTCTCTGGGGAGGGCCGTGCTCATTTCCATTTACCAGATTTACAGACACACTCACACCCAATCTGAGGATTTTCAGAACTGACAGTACACCAGACAATGCTTTCAGCTGCCTGCCAGCAATGTAAAACATACAGATGGAAGGGTAAAACCAAACACAAAAGAAGGAAATCAATAGCCAGTTCAGTGCATACATAGGATGACCTCGTTGCTTTTATGGAAAAAGAACACATTTCCCAGCAATAAAACAAGAAAATGTGTCTAAATTTAAAGCTCTCCAAGATGCTGTAAAACGTATGCTGAATATTTGTATTGCATAACTTACCAACAGAGTCTTCTGTCTCTTTAAAAACATGTATGACTCAACATGTTAAGTCTCAGGTTCTTGGTTTGACATGATTTCAGTCTGACAACATAAACGAACTGTGATCACCACCCCACAGACGACATTTGGTGGCTACAAAAGTTGACTGGTTGCTAAGGAGCGGAGAGACGGAGTGTGCAAAGATATCAGACCCAAAAACAAAACAAAAAGCCTAGTAAATAAAATAAAAAACTACCTTCATACATGTCAGAATATAAGGAAGAATGAGTGATTTGTAATGAGTTGAAAGCCAAAAACTAAATGTAACATTAACTATGATCACCTGGGAAATGACACACAAATTGCACATAAACATCATGATATCCTTGCCTAATTCACAAGGAAGTCTCCATCTTTCCTGTGTTTTTGTCTTTTTAATCAGAAAGAATCTGTGTTAAGCAACCCTATCTGTGGATAAGTCGATGTGAAATAAAAAAATTGTGAAACGGGATAAGAAGATTGAATGGAGCATTCTGTCAAAGAATGTTTCATCTTATCTACTCTGTATGTTCTCTGACCAGCTATGACCCAGGAATGTGAGCAACCTGTTACAACACAGCTCACCCAATCACAAAGAAACAGAAACAGGGACACAGAAACAAGATCAACATCGTGCAACATCAGGAAATATTTCAAAGTGTGTAACGCTCTACAAAGTTTCACGAGTTTCAGAGAAGTTATTTTGTTCCATAAAAGCACACAGATACTCAGGTTGTTGGGGGAAAACATAAAAAACAATACAATCAGAGTCTGGAAATGTCTCTTGAATACTGCAGATAGTCACATATCTGATTATTAAAAGAGCCAGTTGTAAAACCTACAACCATGAGTAATCTTGGATCATGTGGACGATAGAAGATGAGTGTGTGGATGTAATTTTGTCTGTGTTAAAATATGACACGTCTTCTGATTTCATGTATTTCATTTCAATCCTTTAGGTCGTCCACGTTTGAGGTTCTCCATCAGCAGATGGCGACAAGTGTGTGTGACACACACACATCTGAGCGGGGTGTTTCCACTCCCTGACGCGGGATGGCAGCAGCAGCACTGGGACACACACACACACACACACACACACACACACACTCACACACACATCCGTTCCGGAGCCCAAACGTCCCGTTTCATAACACCGGGCAGCGGGTCAGACTTGCGTAAGGGACGGTGGCTGACCAGTTGGGGGGAAGATGACCTGCGCGAGGCGGATGTTCTCCCACGCTGCTCGTGCCAAATCGGGGCAGATCGCGCGCGCAGCCCTCGCCTCCTGCAGACGCTTCCACGCGGAGCTGGTAACAAGTCCGGTGTTTGTGCATGCCTGCTGACCGCTCTGCTGACCAGTCAGCTGACCGGTCAGCTGTCCGCTTCACAGGTGAGGCAGGAATCCAGCGGGCTTCCCATCATCCATCACAGCAAGTATGTGTGTGACCTCCCGGCCAAGCACAGGTTCCCCATGGGCAAGTTCCCCAAGGTTTTACAGCATCTGCTCCAAGACCAAGTCATCACAGAGAAGCAGGTTAATCCTTAATGTCTGCCTGCGTTTGCTTTTGGTTTTCCTGTCATGAATTTTACGTTTTTTTACACCATCCTGCAACTAAAAACATGATTTACAGTCAACACAAAAGTCCCCCTCTTTTTCTTTTCTTTTTACTGATGTGTCCCTCTCCTCACAGTAGGTGTGGTACCCTGAGATTGCCTCCAAAGCCCTGCTGAGCTGTGTGCACACTGAGGACTACCTGGACGACTTCATCCACGGGAGGATAGAGGAGCGGGAGCAGAGGAGGACGGGTTTCCCCTGGAGCCCGGGCATCGTGCGGCGCTGCCGGTACGAGACCGGGGGCACCGTGCTGGCGGCCCGGGCGGCCCTGCAGAGGGGGCTGGCCTGCAGCACGGCCGGGGGGACCCACCACGCCTTCCCCAGCTACGGGTCAGGGTTCTGCCTGCTCAACGACTTAGCCGTCGCCGCCAAGCACCTGATAGACGACCAGTCCACCCAGAGGAAGGTCCTGATCGTGGACCTAGATGTGCATCAGGTGGAGTTCACTGATTTTTAAAAAAACCTTTTTCGGAATATTAGAATTTAGATTTGTTGCCTTTCTTTCTTCTTCATTTTCCCCCCCTTTTTTTCTCTTCCATTTCTCTTTCTGTATAAAGGATCTCTCTCCTTTCCACTGCTCTTCTTTCTTCCCTGTCCCTCTGCTAGGTTCGGCATTATTGGACACATGTAACAAAAATGAATAAAAAAAGCGGTTTTGGGTAATCAAGGGGGGGCTTCTCACTAACAAAGCCTCCCTTGGCAAAGCAGTTTTGTTCAGCATAGCACAGTACTCAGATTTAAGGTTTGCTGCCATAATGCTGAACAGGACAAGGTAAAAAATAATAATTAAAAAAAAGGAAATTAGATTTGTTGTAAATTTTTACTTTTTTTGTTTCCATCAGGGGGATGGCACCGCTTTCATATTCAAAGAGGAGCGGTCTGTCTTTACATTTTCCGTCCACTGCGGGAAAAACTTCCCCCTCCGCAAGCAGCAGAGCGACCTGGACGTCAGCGTGGACGACGGGCTGGAAGACAAGGAGTATCTCTCCACAGGCACGCTGAACCGGCCCTTCGGTGTATTTGAATCTCCATTTCAGAGCCTTTATTTACTCATCTAATGAATCATGCGCTGTCACCAACAGTTGAGGCCCACCTGCCCTGGCTGCTGGACACCTTTCGTCCAGACCTGGTTCTGTACGACGCCGGTGTGGATCCTCACTGGGAGGACGAACTGGGGAGACTCCGTCTGACAGACCAGGGTGAGTTCCTCTCCTTTGCAGGCCTGTGTTTTTTGTGGAGAGATCACTTAAAGACTCTAACTCTCACCCAGGGCTCTACCTGAGAGACCTGTATGTGATGAAGACCGTGGTGGGGAGGGGCGTTCCTGTGGCCACGGTTATCGGCGGAGGATACTCCAGAGACATCGACAAACTGGCGCTTAGACACTCGATCGTCCACAGAGCAGCGACTCAGGTAAAGGAAACAAGTGCCAGATACAAGAGAAAACCACTCAGAGCTGCAGGAATGTGAAATAAAGTCATTACTGAGGTCAAGCTCTTTACATTTCAGGTTTGGAGGGACTGTGGAATGTGAAGCCTTCATCTCTTGAATCAAGAGGAGCGATTGAGCCCTAGCTGCTACAGACCTGGTAATTAGCCCAGCTACCACCCACCATAACTGTAGGTGATCAGGTCCATGTGTATGCAGCCAACGATTCCTCCAGAACTTGAATAAAACATCTTGTGCTAAAAATCAAGGAATTACATTTCCTTTTTCCTCAGTGATCCCATCTGTTAGCTGACCGTATTGACCGGTGAGGTGTTTTATGCTGATTGGCTAAGCATCCTTATTGTTTCATGACAAAATGATGGATTAAGTCATTTCAAAAAGTCAAGAACTCCCCCCTCCTAGAATCCACAATGACGCCTGTATGAATGCAGATAATATTTTCTGATGATGCAAATGACAATGGCGCTCTAGAGCCAGAAAACCAGATGGAGTGTGATCCAAATGTGTGACTGTTAAAGCGAACCGGCACCAACATGTTAATGATTCGGCAGGAGGACTGATGTGTGCACGTCTGTGTTGTTCACCTCAGAAGACGAAACAAAAGCTTCTTAAGACAAAGAAATAGTGCATTCCTCTGTGGTTGGGAAGGTCAGCCCCGCTAAATCTAATTTTAAATCACTCCAAAAAAAAAATCTGCCAAGTCATAAAGGAGGAAATTACATTTGGGGAGTTCAGGGGGTTTCAGGCTTCAGTCATTAACTGCAAAGGATCTGCATCAAAGGACAATAGCTGATGGGGTTAGTCTGCCTTATTCCTGTCAGCCTCCAGATAATGGAAAAAGTATTTTCTTCTCTTCTTGAATTCTGTTTTTCTCTAACTGAAAGTTGATCTACCGGTACAAAAATAAAGCATCACACCACACTCATGAACAAAAATATTTAATAAGAGTCAATAAATTCAAACTCAACAGAGACATTTCAGTACCAGTATCACTCCAGAACAGAGTTGGTCCACTCATACCGTAGTTATAAGGAAATGTACTCTCCTTGGCACGATGGGAACAGATAAGCGCCATGTTCCATTACTTCTGGAAACAGTGCAACGTGTATTCACAGTATATGAGGCAGTCGATTGGCTGAAACACATTTCTGGTATATTCAGCTTGTTACGAGACATCCAGCTACTGAAAATATCAACACCAGGCGCGCACACACACGCAAACACACACAGGCACACACACACACACACGGGCAACATTGTTTTTAAAACACTGGACAAATCACAAATGTTCTGGAAGATATTCTGCACAACTCTGAGCTCCTACAATAGCAAGGTAAGATAAACTAGGCGTGAGCCTCCCATGGAAGTCCTTAACAGACGCCTGATTGGCTCCTCAGTTTGAGAGTTTAGGAACACACACTTATTAAAAAGGTCGATGTATAAAAATAAAAAATAAAAAGAAAGAAAATCACAGAAATGAGGTGTTATTACACATTAACAACAGATGGAAGCCTAAACTTTTGCCTCGCAAAAATCTCTTTGGCCCTTAATTAAAATCCAAAGATGCAAACCGTGCGTTTTTCCACATTTCTCCTCAAAGACAAAGAATGAAGTCGATAGCAGCGAAGCATACTGGTTTGATGAGGGAGAACGTCTGCTGTACAGTTGGACACGGCTCGTCATTTTCATCTTTACAAACAGAACAACTTTCAAAATGCGGTACAGTATTCAGCGATTACAGAAAGTTGCAGTCCTTTGTGCTAAAATATTCAAGTACAGGTTTCTAAAATACTTCCACATCTCATGGACAGCTAGTTTTAGGACTACTTTGTAAAAAAACAAAAACAAAAAACAAAAGTTAAAATGGCACTTTCCCAACAGTGCAGCAGTGGAGCTGTTTAGTGTTAACCGTACCTACAACGATGTCCTAATCAATAAATCTACCATTCAGTGCTAAAACGTGGGGCCATAACTAAACCTTCTGTGCCACCACACACCAGTTGGCGTGGTCAAAGTAGGTGTGTGTGACATGAAGATCCCCGACGTGGTTCTCTATCAGCTCTGCCAGCTCCCCCTCCCTGAAGACGTGGTAGTACCTCAGACAGGGGCCCTCCACCGGGCCCTCGCTGCCCTGAGGCCTCTGTGTGCTTTCCCGCTGCGCCTCCCCCGCCGGGCGTCCCTGGCTTTCCTCTCCGGGGGCCTTCGGTGGCTCTCTCTGCAAAGAGATCAGATCTGGCAGAGCCACGGCGCCACACTCGGGGGCTAAAGCCACCGCGGCGCCCCGGCTGTCTGAGCCGCCGCTCTGAGGGCTGCCGCCGCCTCCACAACCGCTCTGTACCTTGTGCAGGTTAGTGACCGAGTCAAAGACGTCCTCCTCTGAGCCGATCGCCGACGGGGGGGAGAAGAAGCTGGAGACCTGCTTGATGAGGCCGCGGCCTCTCCCGCGCCGGCCGCTCTTGTTAGCCTTGTTAGCTTTGTTAGCCTCGCTCTCCCCTGCGCTCGAGGATAAAGTGCTCAGGTCTCTGGGGGACGGCCAGGAGATGGCCAAGCTTCCAAAGTCAAAGACGGAGTCCAGAGAGCGGGAGAAGAGCCACAGCCGGTGGGGCTTCGGCTGCGGGGCGCCCCCCCCGCCCAGGTCTTCCTCGTCGGCCACAGACGATGTGCTTCGGACCTTCCTGTGCTTCTCGGAGTGGTCGACGGCCTCGCTCTCGCTCTGCGCCGTGGCCCTCCTCCTGGGTCTGGCGTTTCCTCGGCCGAAGCCGGGGGCCAGCTGGGGATTGGGGTTCCAGGGGATGAAGACGTCCTGCTTCTCGAACTTGCGGCGTTTCTGCTCCATGGCCCACACGTAGATCATGAGGAGGCCGCCGGCCCGCAGGGTGCGAGCCATCTCCCTTATTGCTCGAACGCGACGCTCTTTGGTCGACAAATGGTGAATGACTGCAAGAAAAACAGATTTCAGAATGAAAATTCGATCAAATATATCTCGTCCAGTCGTCCACAAAGCAAACTGTGAGGTGTCTGATAAACCCGTGTGTGGGTGATGTCCTCTCCTTCAGCCTAATTACGCTTGTGCTGGAGGGCCCATTCATTATTTGTCAGTGTTGGCAAGGCAACGCAAGATGAGGCGTTGTAAACTGATGTTTATCATTAACTCAGGACACGGCAGCGGCAGCAGCTGTCCAGCTCTTTTTTTCTTTTTTTAAAATAAAAGGAATGGATTCCTATCACCGTGGAGGCAATCCACATCACCCAGCTCCATCCTAAGTTCAGGGAGTGTGTTTAAGGCCTTTACCTGCGATGGAGAGCACGGCGTCGAAGCATCCGTCTCTGTAGGGCAGAGCCAGCCCGTCGCACATCTGGACCTCGTGTCCCTGGCTCCACGCGAAGTCCACCAGGGGGCGGCAGACGTCGCAGCCCAGCTTGAACACGTCCTTATTGATGTGCAGATACTTGCCGTTGCCACAGCCTGTCAAGGACGAGACGCTCGGTTAGAGCAAAAAAAACAGGCTCCCGGTCACAGGGAAAAATAACCCCGACGGTTTTAGGACCCACCGATGTCAGCCACGATGCTCCCGGGCGGGAGGTCCAGCAGGAACTGTTGCACCTTTGGCCAGGCCCTGTAGCGGCTGTCGTTGAAATAGGGAGCGATCTTCTGGTAGACGCTGTGCACGTGCTCCCTCTCCAGCTGACTGGCAGCCTCCTCCATCACGCACGTCCAGCCTGCCTCACGCGCTCATGGCTGCGGGGACACAACAACCTTTATTACTCCATCAAATAGTAACGCCGTTTTCATTGGCCAGGAACGAGCACACACTCACACACACATACATACACAAGAAGGGCTCTCGAAAAGGGAACATTGGTGTTTTTATCTCCACAGGCTTATTAAAGTCCTACAGGGGAAGCCGGCAGCCGTAATCAGAACACACACTCTAACGTGTGTGTGGCCGCAGTGGTCATTTAAAGCCAAACCCTGGGCCGTGAGCCTCAGGTACCAGCGGAGTCACGCAGCCCTCTCAAACTACGCTGCAGGCACAAGGACTGACCACTGGCTTTACCTTTTCAGTCCGTCTCCTGGAATTGAGATTCATGATCCTCAACATAAAATTCTATTCAACTCCCAGGCAGCCGTCATCCCACTAAGACCTGAGCAGGTCCGTTACAACAGTTTCTCTGCAGCAAGAAGCAAAAGGTCAACACACCGGTCACCTCTGTCGGCAGCACGATCCGAATCAATTCAGATCAATCCAGCCGAATTGATTCTGATTACTCTCAGTGTCTGCACATCATGTTCCCGCTCACTTCCACTGAAGACCACTCGAATTAGTTCACAGGAAGACTTTCACCCCCCCAACAGAACCGGACCCGTCCATGCAGGTCCGGATAGGCTGTCCGCCTGCTTCATGGTCATCTGCGGCCGTTAGCGTTAGCAGAGGCTGTTAGCGGGTTCCTCTCATAGGTCACCCGGCCTCCACACTCCCACACGGAGATGTCCAGGCGAAGTGGAGTCGTGATCCCTGTGATCTTTGTGTTCCTCACAGCCCCCGCTGCAGTCCCAGAGCCAATCAGGACGCAGCCTCAGCTCCTGCAGAGCGCCCGCTGCAGCACACGCACAAGGAGAGTTTTCACCCCACAGAGGACTGAATTATTAGAGGAACAAAACCTCCCAAAGACAGAGCTCTCACTGGACTCGTCTGGCTGGAAACACATGAATAAACAACAACAAACGTTCATTCCAGAGGCACTTCTAAGGTGCAGGAGTTGCATAACCGTCAGCTGGCTGGAACAGGTCACAATAGGCATGCACTGAAAAGGTGACAAATCCATCTATTTTTCATCTGCTTTTTGAACTGTACGTTATAATCCCCCGAAAAGCGAAACCAACCAAAGATCACAACAGGTTTGATGGAATGTGCACAACAACTGGGCCATTCCGGCTCCCTCTGAGCTCTGAGCTGGACATTTTTAAGAGAAACAGGTTTTCTTTTTAAGTCTGAATGTATTTCTTTTTTAAATCACTTGATTCAAAGTCGATTCAGAACACAGCATTGGAATCCAATTAATCCTCTCCCCACTGGTAATAAAGGTGATCATATGGAAATGATCACTGCTGCCTCATCAGTGAGATATTGTTAAATACCTCCTTAGATAAATGAGTGGGAACATAATAAATATACCTGAGGAGGAGATATTTATGTAAAAAAGCTGACCTGAGCGATGGGAAATGCCGGACTTCCTCTAAATAAACCCAGGTCTGGTCCCCACACGTCCGTACGAGTGCCGCGTCCCTCTTCCAGACCTATTTATGGACCACCATCATATGCAGCTTTTTCACGGCAAGTGGCAGAAAAAACATCCCTTACGTAAGGCTGTAAGCTGGCCTCCTTCACAGCATTGTCTGCGTTCAGATACAGGTTTTTTCTTTTTTCTTCCCCTGCTGGTTAGACTTTGGTATTCCTCAGCAGACGTTATGTAACCAGCAGCTGGGGAGCCTGGGGCTCTCCCTCTGACTGACAGCTGGAGCTGGAACCACTCGGGTAATGCCTGGCACAGATTTAGCTGAGGAACGGGCCACTTGGTGCGTTAGGTTTCTGCCGGTCCCTGCTCCGGGATTCCTACAGCTGCCATCAGGGCTGATATTTCACCTGTATCTTCCATAATTTGACACCACAGCCCCAGATGGTGACAGAGGCAGGAACACCTGCATAAATGTGGTCACAGAGAACTGGTGTACCCTCTGAGTCTGCCAGCTGCCAACATCTGGACGCACCGCTGCAGGTTGAGGCTGCTGAGCTAAAAATGGCCCCAGAGCTGGAGGCAGTGATGGATAGAATCAGGTCACAGAGCACAGGCACCACAATAAAAGCCACCAGTCAGTGAAAAGCGCACACAAATGCCACTTCACGAGCCACAAAGTTTCTGAAATGGATTTTTCTTTTTTTCAAACAGCCCAGATGAAAACAAAAACAAACAAAAAAAAGACACTGAAGCCCATGAATAAAACCAATAACTTACATTTAGTCCCCCTGGTGCAGCGGCAGGATCTAGTCAGTGTTTACTTCCCCCAGAAAAAAAATGTCTCCCACGATGCCGATGAGCTTACCGTAAACGTCTCTGCCCCCCTCCAGCCCCCCCCCACAGTCGCCTCCGGCCGCCGGAGTTAAAGTTCCCCCCCTGCGGAGGAGCTGCGGCTGCGGGCGGCGTCGGGAGGACCGGCGGCGGGGGTCCGGAGCACCGGGGCCCGCAGTCCCAGAGACATGCCGGCCGAACGGAGGAGCACCTCTGCGCGTGCGTGCGTGTGTGTGAGTGTGAGTGTGAGTGTGTGTGTGTGAGTGTGTGTTCCACCCGCAGGAAGGCACCACATCCAGTGTCGGGCTCCTTACCTGTCAAGGTGGGAACAGTGGAAGGAGGCACTTCCGGTTTGGAGTTTCAGAATAGTTGTGTGCACAGACGAGTGCAAAACACGTCAACAGTCCTTGTTTAATATTAGGTGTAAATGTTCAAATAAACTACGTTCACCAGATAAAGTAACATCTAAAGACTTTACTACGACACACACACATCCAGCTGGAGGACCTTGGCACATGTGTAAAGTAACAAACCGCATTTTATCTTGAGTTTTGTGTGCGTGTGTGTGTTTTCAGTTTAACGACATCTCGAAACATTGTAGTTTGAGTATTAAATATTGTACCATTTGATTCATTTGAAAACTGCATCTCATACATTTCATGTTATTTTGGAAAAAAACAACGCATTCAATATTAACCCCCTTTTTTTGCATGGCAAATACTAAACTCAGGATGTTTAAGTGTTTAACAGGGCATATGAAACAGCTCTTACTAAATGCCTTTATTTCAATCACTGTCAGTGATTAAATATGTTACTAATATGCAAAGTCAAAACTGACTCAGTCATAAGGATGGTTTCATTTTTAAATTTTTCATCTATTAACTACCTGGACATCTATTTGATGTTAAACCAGCACCTGCCTATCACTGATGCAGCCATTTAAATGTTCCAAGTCCCATTTGGATCGGTTCAGATAAGATTTCTAAAGATAGAGACTTACACCTTACACAGCTCAGATCAACCTTCACTATAAAGCAGTTCTGAATCGTGATACATTAAAAGGTGAATGAGCACTAATGCTCCAACCAGTCTACACGGTGCCCTGTAGTGGGCCTCCTTCATTTGGGTTTGGCTCCGCAAAGCCACACCATTTTGGCGCTTTTCTTTTGAAGAGGCCATCATTCGGTTTCCGGTCTTATTGTAGCTTGCTTGACTCCGCTGTTGGCTCTTTAGTGTGTACTCGGCTGACACGCTGTGCGGTCGTAACACGCAGTTGTTATTGGCCGGCAGCCTCACGTGACGACCACAACAAACACTGAGGCTGGAGGCTCGGGAGAGCTTCTGTTTCATGCTCCATCCTTTCCCCATCTGTCGGGACTGGATACGCAAACAGGAGGAAACCTCTGATTATGCAGGATGCAGTAGCTCAGACTAGAGGCTGTGGATTTAGGTGTGTGTTACTTTGGGAATTCTGATAGTTTCATATAACATGATCCGAGTTTTTTAATCATCCAAATTATATTTACCAGCAGTTCGGCTCTGAAACAACAAGAATAAAGGCGTACAGATCCTGCTCATCCTGTTCTGCTACTTGCGAATGAATAAAAATTGAGCTCATGCAAGAGCAGTGTGAATGACATCAAATAAAGCCCGCTTTGAGCTTTACGCCATTGAGCATTGCTTTTTCATCCTTTTAAATGGGATCTCATTACCGTGTCACATCCATTTTGCGTCCTCTTCTGCCGTCCTGGGTGCCGGCTCTGTGCCGGGCCCTGCTGTGTGAGTGGTGCGAGGCTGCCATTCAGCGAGCACAAACCTCCAATCACAGCTGTCCTACATAATCAGCATTTAGAGCACGCGGCTGTGCTCCGCTGCAGGCCTCCTCTCATTAGAAACGATGCCGTTACTGGCAGTAACACAGACCAGTGCTGCTGGCCAGTACGCAGAGTGAGACGCAGAGAGCTGGGGTTTGTCCGTTTGTGTTACGTCTTCACATGTAAATGGAGTTATTAGCAGCTACATGCCTTCAGTCTGGGGAGATTCAAGGACGCTTAACGGCCTTCGGACTGAGAATCTAAAGCTGAATGCAGCTGTGAGCTTAGAGGCAGAATATATCCATCCATCAGTGTTCTGTACCACTTATTCCCAACGGGCTCAGGTGGGGGGGGGCAGGAGCCTGACAACAGGTGAGTGGCGGGTCAGTGGCCAGTCCATCGCAGGGCCACACAGAGACAACCAACCACACACGCTCACATTCACTCCTGAAGGCAATTCAGAGTGTCCAGTTCATGTAACATGCTTGTTCTGGATAGTGGGAGAAAGGCAGGTGCTGGAGGGGCCTGAAGAAAACCCAAAGAGACAACATGTGGGACCGACTCCACACAGAGTAGTCTCACTCCCCCCCAGGGACTCAAACCGGGAACCTTTTTGCTGTAAGGCGATGGTGCTAACCCCACACTACTGTGTCTCTCTCCAAATAAAACTCACAGGTGAAATTAGACCTGAAAAATGAGACAACTGCTCTTGTTTTCTGGCAAACGGTAGGTCATAATTCTGGATGAAAAGCTAGTTCATTTTCTCATTTGCCTCTAAATGGCAAAAGCCATTGAGAGGATATGTGGACAGTTTGCTCTCTAATTTTTTTTTTGTAGATGCACAAGTTGATCCGAAATACGATAAACACGTTCTAGTGTGCGTTTTATTCATGTCAGACAAACTTACCAAAAGCACAAAAGGCCGAACTGCTGTGGTGCTATATGAAATGTGTACGTTTGAGTGCACTCTTTGTATGTTTTTTTCTTTTACTGCTAAGAGGAAATCTATAAGCTTGCGAGCCCGTCCACAGATTCTGAGTGTTCCTGTCCCACTTCCTGTTGTTGGGCTGTGTAATGTGTCACAGCTGCCGCCCTGCTGTTTTCTGTGGGGCTGAGAAAGCAGCACTGACATGACAGCAAAAAACAAATATTGCAGACAACTTAACGACTTTAAAGAGAAAGAATCCATGTTCCCATGTTACAGGCTGAACGGGAAATAAGTTTAAAGCAGCTGTTTCCCTTTTTCCTGCTGCTGGTTTGACCCCACACCTCCCACATTAAAATGGGTTCGGGACATTCATTATTCTTATTCCTCATTAAACTGCACAGCTTTCAACCAAAGAAAATGGAAACCGTTGTCTGCATTAGCATTCTCAGAAAAAAGCAGGGGCAAAATTTCAGGGATAAAATAGTGCTTTTGGTTTTTAATAATAAACATTATGTCTTCTCTGCTTTCCCCTGTCATTTCTCAGCCCTTTTACAATTTTCCTGACAGGAAGAATAGACGTTTTCATATTTTAGAGGCTATCATTATCACTTCAAGCACAGGCATTTCAGTTTAGACACGTCTGCCCTGAGCTGTCTTCAGCTGTCACTGAGATGACGACTTAAAACGCTGTCTAGTGGAACCATGCCTTCAGAATGGGCTTACCTTCCATCTTTGTCCTAATCATGTGAGAATATGAACGAGTGTTGTCTACTTTCAGATGCCATAGTAACCTCATGACATCTAAACTCTTCTTTAGAGATGACCACTCAACAAATCTCTTTAAAAAACCTGTTCATAAGAACTCAACAAAGGACGGAGACACATCAGTGATGGATCTGTTGTTCTTCATTATCAGAGGCTGAAATTCGCATAACACAAAGTCCATCGTCACCTCGAAGACGACAGAACGTACAGAAACACTGTTCATTTGTCCCGAAGTAAACGGCTGTACAGCTGTGTGTCTATGATGGGAAACGGAGCAAGAACATCAAAAAAGATCTTTCACATGAAAAACAAGCTCAAAAATCCAAATATTCAAAATTCAACCTTGTAGAATGTACAAAAAACAATAACAAAAATAAAAATTACAACGCCAACAGATAAATCTGCCACTTGACACATTAAAATACGCGAGTTACATTCGGGTAAAACAGTCAGACGTTTAGAGAAAAATAAATCCCAGCTCTCAAAAAAAAAAGGGAAAAAAGGCCCAGCAAACAGCACCTGTGTCCTGCTGTAATGAGCCCCAGAGGGAACAGAGAGCCCAGAGTCCCACCACAGCCCTGGTGTGACGGGGTCTCCAGGCTCTCAGCTGCTCCGAGAACTATCCATTAGTCCTCCACCTCTGAAGTGTCAATCCACTAAGAAAACAGTTCACAAACTGTGAGTCTGACAACAGAAAAAGAAAAAAAAAATCAACAATTTCCAACAGAACACCCAACCGGGGTTTTCTCTGAAGGATAAACCTCTGTTTGTCTGAGAGGTCCATGGGGAGCTAATTAGGTCTCAGCCTCCCCACCTTTCAGTTCCCTAATAAGTCCCTCCTGTGTTTCTGCACTTCCGCGGCTTCACTGGGACTTGCAAACAGGAAGCTTTGATTTGTTCCGGCCAAAGCTAAAGCGGACTCATTAACTGTGAGCACAGCTAGCTCTGCTCTTATATCTGCACTCCGCTGCTCCCCGGAGGAGTCCGGAGGCTACGGGCTGGATAAGGGAACCATTTCAATCTCATCACAGATGACATTTTACACTTTCCAGGAAAAAAATGGAAATCTCTATGATCTGCCCTGCAGACATCAAAACGGTTAGCAACGCATTTCCTTCAAAAAAAGCAACATGCAGGCAGAGCCAAAGATATCAGCGACTCTGGAAGCTGAGCTGGGATTTTCTGGGAAGTTACGGAAATCAGGAGAGATCAAATACAGCTCCGTTTACAAGCAGATAATCAAATCAGCCACAAACTGCCATGGAGATGGGAGCAAACATCTAGTTTTCCACCGTGTATATCTTACATGAAAAATATAAAAAGTGTCTCAAAAATGATTCTCTCAATGCAAAAATATTCAAAAATTCTTTCCCAGCAAATGCCTAGAAATATAATTATGATAAAGTCTACAGAAAAATAGGAATCCTTTATCTTCTTATGGAATCAATTTACAGTATACAAAGTAATAAATTAAAAATCACGTAGAAATAGTTTCGATTATTTACATCAGTACAAACGTTTTGGTCTTAAAGCAGAAGGGAACTACCTGAGAAAGCTAATAAAATTCTTGTGTTCCTCTAATAGTGGGTGGTCTCTCGGGCTGATGTCTCTGGGTGACACGAGGCGGCTCCTGTGAACTCATGACGATGTCGACATTTACGGGAAATGAAAAGCGATCCATCATCTGTTTGATCTTTTCCTGACCAACACCGTGCTTGTTCCGCCTGGACAAAAAAAAAACGTGCAAGGTGGCCTTAATGGAAAGCCTTTTTCTTTTCTTTTTTTAAAGGTATACAAATACTGCATGCATTAGAATAATAAAAAAATAAATCATACCTCTCCAGCTCAAGAGGATCAAATTTCCAGCTGGTGTTAGGTTCACAGAAGTCCACTTTGTATCCTCTCTCTAAGGCCTGTTAAACAAGTTTGATACTTCTAAAAGTGCCGCAAAACGACATGCTCAGACAAACAAGAAAACGGCCAGTTGATTTGTGTAGCACGTTTCATGTAAGAGACAATTCAAAGTGCTTGATTATGACCTTATTACCTACCATTTTGACATAAGGCTTCATTTCCCAGGCCTGGAGGTTTGTGTTGTCGATAATAATGGGAGAGCGGCCGTCAAGCAAAGCCCCTTTAACTGAGAGACAACAACACAACAGCGTCATAAAATTGCACAGATGTGGAGATGACGCAGACTAAATCCTGCAGAAATAACCTGGATCCGGCTCGATTAGAGAGACAATACCTCTGCTCTGGTTCCACTCGTGTGCAGTTCCCAGCAGCTCTGGGTTGTAGCAGTAGCCCCCTTTGTGGGCAAAGTAGTCATCCGTGCTCAGAATGACCCCTCCTGGACCGGTGTGGAGCAGCTCCCTGCGGACGTCACACACAGAGTCACTCAGCATGTGAGATAGGAGCACAGACAAATGGACAAAAGGCTTGTTGAGTTTCAGATTAACCCCAGACATACCTGGCCCGAGTGGTTTTCCCAGATCCTGGTAATCCCCTCATCAAGATTAGAACAGAGGCCGGACGGTGTGTGTGGGTATGGTCAAAGGGCTGGGGGTGGCGCTGTTGGTCCCACCTTTCTGATTCAAAGCTCGGAGGCCTGTCATACTCGTCGTCACACCAAAACCGTTCTTCTTTTCCGTCCTCACGCCACTCCTCATTTGGATTATTTGAGCGTCTGTCATAGTGACCGCCCCTGTAATCCCTATCAAAATGTGGCGGAACGTTTTCAGGATAGCCCTGAGAGGGGGGACTGCATCCATCTGGTGGCAAAAAACGAGAAAAAGATGGAACTGTACGCTCATCCTGATAGTGGTTCGTTTTTCCTGAGCAGGGGAAGGCCGGGCTGGCACGTGGCGGCAGGTTTTGGGGATGTGGAAATGCAGGCTGGTGTTGTTGGTGAGGGAATGGTGGTCTGTGAGATGTGGGGGGTGGCAGCGGCCTGTTGTCCGCTGGAGGATAATTCCACTGATTTTGGTAGGAAACAAAGTTGTCGCGGTTCATGTCTGGCCGCTGTCTTTTGAGGTGGTACGGCTCATTTTGATAGCGATGATTCCAAGATGTGTGTGTCTGTGCACCATTGTTCTGGTAGCATCCTACAGAATTTCTCACTTGACTTGTTTCCTTGTTTTCAGCGGGTAAGACAGGATGAACATCGTGTTTTCTCGGGTCGTCTGCTCCCCCATCTGCTGTATCAATCTTCTCAAGCTCTTTGTAAAACTCAGTTAGGGAGTCTTCCATGTCAGGCTTCGGTTTGCGCTTCGCTGAAGGGAATGCTGGACCAATAAAGGCTTTGCTGGTGAGTCCCACCTTCTTCAACACACGGTCTCTCGCCACATCTGGATTGTGGTCTGTGCTCACAGGTTTGAGACTTTTGTCAGCAGAGCCTTTACTATTTCTATCCATGCCAGGCTTTTTGGTGGGATCACACCTCATGGACGGTTTAGAAGAAGACATCTGCAAACGAGAGATTAGCACATTTACTTCCAGTACGAACAGTAAAATACCAACACTAATTACAACACTATTATATCTATATTACAAAATGTCTTTAACAACTCATTCGTAATCGATTTAAAGGACAGTCAAATGTCCCTAAACTTTTCTTGTTTTGACGCAGACTATCGCGTGAGCAGAAATAAGCTAACCTCGAAAACGTGGAGCGCGGCAACAGTTAAACATTAGCTAAGATGTCCACCAAGGAGTGACACACATAAAAAACATCAAACTTATTGAACACTTTTAAACACAACAGGACATATATGTCGGTGCTTACCATCCTTTATCATTTAGAAAGTGTACCTGACGGGAAATAAAGATATTCACTCAACAGCCGGCATAGTTTCAACATTTCATTAGCCTTATTTACGGAAGTGACGACACTCTTCCGCTTCTTCTTCTGTTTAAAGTTGATGTCAGCGCCACCTACAGGTCCTATGTGTGTTACACCACGGTCATCTTGAAATGGTAATGTTTTCGGTAAAATACATAAATGTTTACACATTATGGACACAAACTAAGGCAGTAGGAGTAAGAAATCAATAAGACCTAAAATACTTTGAATAATCTTTACTAGATTATTACATACTGATCCAATAAGCCGGAAAGATCTAGTGATTTTTTTCCAATTCAGTCTAGTTTTACATGTGTAGTCTAATTTGGAGTACACTCTGACTAGAAAAATTCTTGCTTATTAAAAAACTAGAGTGTAAACCTAGGTTGCTGTCCATTTCACACCTTTCCTTGGTGGAGGAAAATTACATTTCTCAATCCTATGTTCAAGAATATGTTTGTTTACATCTTATCAGTCTGTTCCTTCTGACTTTTTTTTTAGATCAAATTCAATTTAAAAACAAAAAACACATTCTCTATCTCTAGAGTGCTTCAATTCTGAAGCAATGAAATGTGTAACTAAGCTGTAAAGTGAATAGACAACTGCACAAGTGACATAATTGTTTTGTGCAAATGAAACAACTTTAATAGGTTCAGTGACATGACAAATATTCACAGGATATATACGTTAAAGGAAGTCTTCCCTCTCACATTCTTTCATTTTAAAATGTTTTACAGCCAAAATAAAGCCACATGCACCTACAACGAATCACCAACATGCAGCGCCTGAGTATCAATCATCGCCAGTTCTTCATCATTCACCCATTCTTCCTCCACAAGAGAGCTGGAAGGTTTTTTATCTGGAGTTTGTACAGTTTGTAAAGTGCTAGGTGTCCCAGACCTCCGAGGGGGATTGAAGGTCTTTTTGATACACGGAGAAGCCAATGAACCCAGAAAGGAGAGAGGTGGAGGAGACGGGATACGACACAGATAATCCAGAGCTTTTCTCCTTTTCAGGGTTCTGGGATCTTTTTCTGCTGAGGCCGCTGGTGTAGGAGGGTTCTTGCTCATTGGTGTGAAGGATCCGAGGCTTCTGGCCCGTTTCTGAACTGATGCCTGCATTAAAAAGTGTGGTTCAGTGGTGGGTAAACCTACCAAAATAAGCCAAGTTAACATGAACTCACAGTTGTGTTTGAGTCTTGTTTCCTCTCTGTTGTAGAAGCTGCGGCTTGAGGTTGCAGAGCCGGAGAGGAGATGGAGCTCAGGCTTTTATACATGAGCAACTGTGAGAGCTTCTCCTCAGCATCCAGAAAGAAGTTCTCTTGACCCTGAAAATACATACAAATGATTATCCTGCTACTTATTTGCAATAAATAGAAATTCTGCATTTTATCTTTCAGAATCTTTATCTTTTACTCTATGAAGACGTTGGTCTCATACATTAATAGGGAAGATTGGAGATTAGTGAATTCAAGCGCTTCAAAAGTCCACACTACAAAATGTAATTAATGCTACAGATATGATATCACAATCTGTCATCACAGCTAAGGTAAGATAACGTTAAAGGTGAATAGCGAGGACTTTTGCTGTAAACACATCCCCGAAATGTCAACAGACAGTTCCTGAACTGTTTCCATTTACAGCCTTGTACCTGGAGGAGGCTTCTGAGGTGACTCAGAGAGTCCTGCAGGTGAACTTCTTTGGGGTTTGAAGAGAAGGCCGTGAGGTCTCCGGCGTACACTACAGGAGTGGGAAACATGGACTGGCCTCTCAGCTGTAGGTTACTCAGAGCCAACAGGACCCGTGGTTTTACTACGTCCTCTAGGGCAGCCTGAGACAAGCTGCTGAAAAGGCGCACTTTAACGAGGTTCAGCTTCCCGTCGGCTAGATAAAATGCAGGAGAAGAGCCTGTTTCAAAAGAACAAACTGTTATTCAATCGCCTATTAAACAGACAGGTGAGAGAAAATAAAAAATGAAGACACCAACCCTGTGCATCGATGATGCTGATCACATATCCCGTGAGATCAATCTCTCCACACAGGGGATGGAAGTCTGCTTTCTGAAGATTGACAAAGTCCGTGGAGACTCTTGGCTGAAAACGTGTAGACAGCCACTCCGGGGACGTCTGCATGAAGGTTTAGGTTTCATGTTAGAAATGTCTCAATCACCTAATCTGTAATCTGCACAGAATTCCACAGGCAAACCAGCACCTTCAGCTCCTGAAACTGAGTTTTTTTTGTCCCGGTGAGCTGAACCGTTTCAATGCTGCAGCGCCTCTTTCCATCTGAGGCAACAAGGTTATAGACTTTGTATCGACAGCCCTCTTTCAATGAGGACTGGAGGTCTGAGGGCGGTCGCCAAAGATTCAGCTGGTAAACTGTATTGTAAAAGAAAACAGATACAGTCAGCAGAAAAAAGGGAAGACACAGCACATGTTGCAGGAAAAGAAAAAAAGAAAAAACCTCACCACTGCCGGGCTGGGCCGTCCAATCAGCAACGCAGAGTCTCCACACAGGTGTCACATCTCTCTTGGGACAGCTCATCTCGTTTTCCTTTGCCTCTAAAGCCCGTCGATACTGATCCTGTAGCTCAGCCTGCCTCTTCTCCAGAAGGGACCGCCTGTAGTTGTGAAAAGCATCGAGCTGCCGCTGGCTAAGATGAGCCTGAGAATCAGTTACTACCACAGTTAGGTGCAGCAAATACTCACCAGGCAAATAAGTCAATACTATTTTTTTTTTTAAAGAACAAAAAACCTGACATCACCTCAATGTAAGGCAGGTCATCTCCGATGGCTTCATACAGTTCCTCTCCATCCTGCAGTTTTGCAATATCCTGATGACTAATTGTTTTCCTTCTTCGCTGTGGTTTGGTGTTCCCTAAAGATGCCAACCTGTTACAACTTATTCAGTTTAAGTTTCCAGCGAAACCCATTTAAGAAACTCTACCTTTTTCATCCTTTTCAAATTCAGCTTGAATCTTGGAAAATAGCATCTCCATAGCTTTTAGCTTGTGACTGTTGTGTCGTCTCTCCTCCTTCTCTTCTGCTCTAACAGAGCGGAACACAACACTTCCCTCTGGCTTCCTCTCCATCCACTGGAAAATGTAACAAATACAGCAACAAAAATGACAAGTGATAAAGCAAACACGCTCACTCAAGTGAGAGTTGATTTCCTTTTTTCCCCTGAACATTCTCAGTAAAAATCTTCATGCATGTGAACATTAAACCTGGACTGAACCCACCTGGATGGGGTAGCTTCTCAGTATGATGATATCAACACATCCTACGGACCCTCCATTGCTATACAAGCAGGAGAGGGGAAGCAGGAATGGCCGTGGGTCTCTGTGAAACCCCAGCTTAGCATCCCATCGTGCGCGTCTGCAGCTGTTGGCACAGATCTGAACGCACACAGTAAACACTGGTTATGATGCTTCTGTACGGGCAGAAGAAGCTACGTGTTTCCTTCCTCTTGACATACCTTCAGCATGAGCGATTCTGGTGCCTCCAGAGGACTGCAAGCATCCTCCGATCCCACCAACTGGGCCCCATGGACAATCAACTTGACCCCAACAGCCAGTAGACCTTTGTTAAGCATGGCAGCCAAAGGTTCATCCAGCTGGGCTTTAATGGCATACCAGCCGTCTGTGAGCGACACAACAGTCGCTGGCGCTCTGGCCTTGCTGTCAGCACTTTGAGGACGCTGAACTTCGCTGCCGTTCTCTCTGTTTGGGGGGGGACTTCTGGAGACAACCTCACAAACGCACAGAACAAGAGTTTTGGCTGCTGTGTCATCCCGTTCCATGATCTTCCTCAGAGCTGGCCTCTGGCTGTGGTCCACCTCTACATCATATCTGACAGATAAAGTTTGAGAAATGATGAGTCATTACACATTTTAATCGCCACATTAAAAAAAACAATTAAAAAAAAATTCACAAAATGGGATGATTCAATGTTTTTTTAATCTTTTCTTTAAAAATAATAAACAAGATCATCTGAATAATAACGAAAACTATGAAATTAAAATCCAGACCACCATTCAACTAGCCTGAGCCAGCATTTCCCCTGCACACCTGTACTTAAGCTGCAGGAGAACCTGCTCTGGGGAGAGACAGAGGCCACCCATTATTTCTGGAAAGGACCTTTCCATGGAGGCCTGCTTCCACACGATCCATCGGTAGTGATTGTTCACCCAGTCCTTACTGATAAGCTTAGGATCCACACCCGGGGTGTCACATAAAGCCCTGTGGAAGATAAATTCAGTTCACTGAGGTTGCTGTGACTCCTACATTGTGAACAGTTTAACATCAGCTCTCACTGATACCTATAGAATTCCTCTTTCCCTGCTGTGCAATCACTGCTGGGGATCAACCACCCCCCATCAGCAAGCTGAACACCCCCATCTTCTTTTAATGTCTCCAGTTTGATGAAGTGGAGCAAACTGAAGCGAAAAGATTCAGCAGTCTGACTTCTGATCTCAGAGACGTGCTTATGGATTCCACACCCATAAAGCTGAAAAGAAAAGAACATCCCAATGTCAGTTTACACAAATGGTTGCATTTTCTTTCTTTTTCTACAGAAAGTAGCATTGGTGATGGGACATTTGCCTGCTCGGGGGTGTATCTGGCAGGAGGCGTTCCATTCACAGCAGCTTTTAAGGGGATCCTTGTCACTCCTGATGTCCTGGTCAGAAACAGGTTCCCCGGTAAAGGTCGAATGGTCTGCCGCTTCTTCTTCCTGATCCTCATCTCTTGCATGTCCCTTGCCAGCTCGATGTTCTGAGACACGTCTGTCAACAGAAAAACAAACGTCTCAACATTTAAAGACGCTAATACAGTTCATATGCACCGGCGTAAACCGGCATTCTAAAAACTGTTTTGTGCACCTTTGTTTTCTAAAAATGTGTTATCCAGATGTGATGACTGTGCAGAGCTGGCTGACTGACAGTCGACAGGAGCACTTTGTTTATTCGTATCATTGTTTGCAGTGTCAACCGAAGCCATTACATCTGCTGTGCCATTGGTTTTGTTGGTAGGCGGAGCATCAATGTTTCCGTCAGAGCGCTTTATAAACAGATCTTGGCTGTACTCTTCCTCTGTGGGTCGTTCAGGGGAGCTCTCTTGTGGGAGGGATATTTTCTTCTTGAATGGTGGAACAAACACAGGCGTCACAGACTTTTCCGTGAGAACTGGATTCTTCGGCGTCTCTGTTTTTTTATTTTTGAAGAATGGAGAAACAAAACCGGGCGTCTTGGAAAGTGCTGATCCACCGTCTCCTGGGGATGGACTTTGCGCTTGTGCTGTCTTTTGAAAATCCATGCTCACAAAGTTTTTCCCGTCGCTGTAGAAAAGAAATGAAATTATATGAGAACTGTTTTTGACAACTGTAAAGATGACTCCTGAATCCAAATCCACTGACCTGTGTGGCTTTGTGATGTTTGGCTGATGAGAAACACTGTACTGGAAAACTGCCCTGTCCTTCATTAAACCTTAACAGAAGAAAGCTCTGTAATTAAACCACAACAATTTCATTTTCATATAACCTGCAACATTGTGTGTAGTTTACCATTTGGGCAACTTTTAACAGGATGGAGTGCAGAAGCCCTTGGACCATCAACTGTCCTGTCAAATTCCTCCAATAATCGCCTTTTTAAAGGTGGCTGACCTGCATGGAAGAGCAAAGAAACATTTAGAAATGATACACTAAAAACTTCAGTTTGAGTGTGCAATAAAAAAGCCTTTTTTGTTTAAATGTTTTAGGCTGCAGTTAAGTTCAACAAAATCAGAAGGACTTAAATATCAGAAATAGTTTTAACTATGTTTGCACTTAAAATCATGGACACATGTGGAAGAGCTGTAACGTCCTAATAAAACATGCTGGACGTGTCTCAGACACTTACCGGTCAGATCTGAATGTCCTACGGTTCTTTTCCTGCTTCCGGTTTGTTCCACTGTCGATTTGCTCCTTAACTTTGGGTCATCTTGCAGTGGCTGGTTTTCAAAACTCATTGAGAGACTCTGCTCAGCTAGACCTTCATCTTCTAGTAAGGCTTTGGTGCAGTCCAGAGCCTCCTGAGCAAAAAACCTCTGCTGGTTTTCTGTGCATCCAGCGAGGTCTAGCGACTGTAAGTTTAGCCCTGAAGCCCCGTCTGCTCCTCCACCTTCAAACTCCAGCAGGCTTGAACTGACCTGTCCAGGCCTTCCAAATGTTTTTCCTGCCTTTGATGGGAGATTTTTTTCTTCTTGACACTCAAACACATCTGTAGGCATCTGGCCTTGTTCACTTAAACTTTCCGGGGTCTTGTTTCTGTGTTCGGACGGAAACACCCTTACTTCTGACAGGGTTCTCCGGGCAGAGAAGTCTCCAACACGAGCCGTGGCAACATTGAAATTTGAAGGGCTTTTCCCATCTTTCGCTTTTGAAAGTTCCAGCTCTCCATCAGCAGCACCTTGAAAATAAACATCTGCGTCTTGCATGGCTTGGGTCAGGTTAGAATTATGAAATTCTTTCAAAACACGCTTTCCTTTTGCAACGTTTTCCTCCGTCACGTGGAGTTTTCCTCCCCCAGCCGTCAGAAAACCAGACTGTGTTCCTCCCGAATCCTTCCGAGTGGTTTCACATCCACTGCTGCTTTTCTCTGGAGCAGCTGAGATGTCAGTGAAGAGAGCTTTAGCCTTCTGTAGGGCCTCAGCTGAAACTGCAACGGCCTTACCGCCGGCTGAAAGAAAGCCACTGCTTTTAAAGGTCGGAACAGAAACTGGAGTCTCGGAACGCTGGAATGAAGCAGCAGTTTTATCCTCAGCCCCTTCGTATTCGGTCGAAAGATTTCCTGGCCTCTGCGGAGCTTCAAATGAAGCCGTCGGAGATCTGTGCTCCTGATTCACTTCTCTGTTTGTGCTTTGATTTCCAGGCAGGTTTTCTACCATCTGACCACAATGAGGCGTGGATAGGTCGTCCCTCAGACTTTTACTCTCGCTGCTGGATGCCATGCTAAGGTCACGGTCTGTGTCTGACCTGGTTTCTGCTGAAGGAGAATCACTGAATTCTTTCATAAGCTGTTTTGCTCTCATGAGACTTTTCTGTGACACCTGGACTTTTGCTCCACCTGCGGATGTGAAGCCAAACGGTCTTTCCTGCATTTTGGCCCCACTTAGGGTGGAGGGTGATTGTGTCTCCTGAAGGGCCTCAGATGGAAGCTGTGCAGGCTTACCCCTCGCAGCAGGAGCCCCCCCTTCCCTGAGCGGCGGCTCTGAGACCTTGGATTGTGGTGGTATCGTTCTCATTTCCTCTTCGACTCCACACTCATTGAACAGGGTTTTTACCCTCCTCAGAGCTTCAGATGAAACAGACACTCCTTTCCCACTCGCCATCTGAAATTCTATTTTCTTTGGTGGGAAAGCAACGTCTTCCTGTTGGCCTGTGTCCTCCGTGCATCCATTTCCAGGCTCTTCAGAAATGCTCACAGAAGCACTTTGAGCTGGACTTAGTGGCATACGATGTTTTCTCTCACTGCCACACTCGCTTAGAGCTGCTTTACTTTCCTCCTCTTTTGGAAACATTGTATTATTGCCGTTCATTTCATGGTAATTGAAAGCAGAATCTGTCTTTTGTGTTACTGTTGCTGAACCCGAATCACTGAATTCTTTCAGAAGCAGTTTTGCTCTTGTGAGACTTTTCTGTGACACCTGGACTTTTGCTCCTCCTGCAGTTGTGAATCCGAACTGTCTTTTCCCCACTTCGCCACCACTATCTTGCTTCTTGTCGCTTTTCCCAGCGTGTGAAACAGCTTGGACCTCTTCGCTGAGACTGATGTCGCTGAATAGAGATTTAGCCTTCTGAAGGGCCTCAGAGGAGAGCTGCACAGGCTTACCACTGGCAGCTCGAAACCCCCCCTGCATGGCTGGCAGATCGGAGACTTTGGGTTGTGGTGGCTTTGTACTCACTTGATCTTCAACTCCTTCAAATTCATTGAACAAGGCTTTTGCTTTCTTCAGATTTTCAAGCGAAACAGCGACTACTCTTCCACCAGCTGTCTGAAATCCACCGTTTTGTGGGGGCAAAGTGTCGTCTTTTAGTTTCCTTTTTTTGTCCGGGTCCTCAGAGCATCCACTTCCAGGCTCCTCAGGAACATCCTGATCTGGATTAAGTTTTGTTAGATTTTTTTCATCGCAGCTGACCCCACTCACAGGTTCTTTACTAATCTTATCTTCTGCCAAGGCTGCAGTATCACAATCCATTTCACAGTCATTGAAGAAAGCATCGACCTCTTGTGTGGCCAAATCGTCAAATTCGGTCAAAAGGTGCTCTGCTTTTAAAGGATTTTTCTGTGACAGACTGTTGTCTGCTGCACCTGCATTTGGGACTTGGCACTGTATTTGCTCAAAGCTTCCTTGAGTGTTCATATATTCCCTATTAGTCTGTGTGCCTGACACAGATGGGATGTCTGGTTCTAAACTGATGTCACTGAAGAGAGCTTTGGCCTTCTGTAAAGCCTCAGACGACAGCGCCATGGGTTTACCACTGGCTGCCACAAACCCACGGGCACGGGGCGGTGGACGGCTAGCTGGCTTTTTGGAAAGTGCCGATGAGGCGCTGCTTTTGCTCTCAGCCCCTTCACATTCGCTCAACAGTGTTTTGGCTTTTTTTAGAGCTGCTAATGAAACGGAGAGTGCCTTCCCACCAGCGGTCTGAAATCCACAGCCTTCCGGTGGAAAACTCTGACGGGTTCCTGATATCTTTCCTTTTTGATTGGACTGGCTGATTATGTCTGCAGGTGTATGCATCTCATTCAGAGGACATTCAGCCGTCTTCAGGGCTCCAGTTGACACGTTCTCTCCATTAGCTGTAGAGAATCCAGCACCACTGTCCAATTCATCCCCAGCTGGACCGCCAGGATTTTTGGAAGTGGGCCGGACAGGCTTCTTGGACATGCCGACCCGAATGGTCTTATATTTTGAAAGGCCTCTCGTGGGTTTAACGTCTTCAGGAGCAGGTTGTGTGTTGGTCTCATCAAACTCACGGCCCTTTCTGTCCACCACAGCACAGTCTTTGAAAAAAGCCGCTGCCTGGTTTCCACCAGCAATGTGGAAATCAGACTGACCCGTGGCTCTCTCAATATCAGTCTTTCTAAAACTTTTTGACTTATCCTCGACCTGTACAACTATGACCTGTTTGCTGGAACAGTCAGACTCTGCCATGTTGGGAAATTCAACAGGATTTCTTTTCAAATCTTTCTTGCTTGTGTTCAAATCCATGTTGTGTTTTTGTTCCATCTTAGCATCGGTTCCCTCTCTTTGCAGCCCAGGAGAAGTCTGATCCGTTACATTTTCCTCAAGATCGGCAAACAAGGCCCTAGCTTTGCTCAGACACTTCCTTGAAACTTTCAGAACACTTCCTCCGGCAGACTTAAATGCAACATCAAGCATCAAAGTGCTGTTTGCCGTCTTGCTGACTTCACTGTGCTCAGCTCTGTGGAGATGCTCTGGTTCAGATGATGCAAGACATATCTTGTCTTCAAAGACGTGCTGTTGGTGCGGAGGCCCAGAGGATGTTTTCAGTGTCCTTGATGCCGACATATCTGCGGGCTGAGCTGCGGCGTTTGACATTCCATCACTGAAGCTGTCATCGAAATCAATACCAGCAAGAAAGTCAGGGTCAATTTCTTTGTCAGCTTTTTGTAGAGGAGCGTCATCAGTTTGAGGAAGCCTGTTCTGCTTGAGAGTTTTAAACTGTGTGAATTCAAACTGGCTATCTGCCTCCTCTAAGAGAGAGCACAGCTCATTCACATCAGCTCTTTGGGAAGCTGTTAACTGTGAACTGAATGCTTTTCCAGCTGGAGGTATCCGGTCTGTGTTAGGAGTTTTGCTTTGGTCACATTTGATGGGTTCAGCTCCTTCAGTCTCTTGAAAGAGAAGCTTGGCTCTCTCCAGGTTGGCTGATGAGATGCGTATGCCTTTATTTGAAGCCGTCTTAAATCCTGATGCAGGGATAGAAGGAAGAGAGACCACCGTTTTGTCTGGCAGACTTCCACAGACCGGGTCGTTTGATGGAACACAGTCCCTGTGATCGGCCGGTTCTTCTGCCCTGTTGGGTTGTCGCGTGGATGTGCATGACTCACTCTCTCTTTCAGGGTCTACCGCCTGCCTCTCGTTGGACCTCTTCCCAGCGGTCAGTGAGGTCTCAGCCTCAGCACCCACGTGTACATCTCCATTTCCTCTCTTTGTAGATGGAAAATGAGTCTTCATGTGGATCTCAGGTTTAGAGCCAGACCACTGTTGGATTTGTCCAGTGTTCTCTGAGTAAGGAAAACCAAATGATGGTAAAGTAATATCAGTGATGTTTGAAACATCAGACTGGACGCCACTGTCGTTGACACTTCTTTCCCCTGTGGAGCATGTTTGGTTGGTAGAAACGTTTCTTTGGTCCCCGCCACCATCATAGTGATGGGGAAGAGTTGCTTGCTTTACTTGTTGTTTTCCTTGTTTCATGGCTGAGAGACATGCTGATGGAGAGAATTTATGCTGAGTGGGCTCCCCTCCTTTACTCTGCCGACCGGAGTCTGACATCTGGCTGAATTCTTCTGCAAAATCCCTGCAAAGCTGTGACATGTCAAGCTCCTGGACTTTTGCTTTTGTAGAAGACGGCAGGCTTTCTCCGCCAGTTGTTGCTAGTTTTTTCACCGCGCTGCAACACTGAGCTTCAGTTTTGTCGTCAGAAATTATTTTTTCTTCAAGCGGTGGTTTAGAATTCTCAACAGTGTAGACAAATTTTCTCTTTTTTCTATTAAATCCAGATTCTGTCATTTTGACTGATGCCCTGGAGAGCTGAAGATGATCAATGTCACCTTGGGGATGTTCTATTAAGATGTTATTTTCCTCAGTAAAAGGTGGGAGTTCAGACAGACTCAGGGGAGACCACTGGCTTATGGCTGTATCTCCTGTCTTCATCAGTGAGGATGATGGAATTTTGCCAGGTTCCAGATGAGCAGCTCCCTTTTCACCAGGTGCTGTAGAGACATTAGAGCTGCAGGTGATCTCTTTTGTCTGAACGATTTGTTTGCGTTTGATTCTTTCAGGTTTCACTTTCCTCAGAGCTGAATTGCTGTTGGCAAACAGCACGGATGGAACATCTTCAGCTGCTGCTCTTCTGCAAATGTCTTCATCCTTGACAGCATCTTGAACTTCGTGTGACCAAAGACCCTCACTTTGGTGACATGACTGAGGACAGTTGTTGGCTTCACTTGCAACAGGGCCTAATAATTAGAGAGAGAGAAAAAACAATTTGTGCCAGAAAAGATAGATAAAAGTCACTTAGACAATCTTTTTAAAGTTCAACACATATTAAAAACCATAACCAGCAGCACCGTTGGTTCTGCTGCAAAGCTCTGCAATGATTCACTGATAATGCATTGGACGGTTCCCCTCTGCTACTCTGAGTTTATAAAGACAGAAATTATAAAAGAAAAAGTCAGTACCTTGGGAAACAAACGGCATGTCCACATTCTTCATCACGTCAGCTGTGAATGCTTCTGACACTGAAGGGAAAAGCTTCCGCACAAACTAGACGGTAAGAATAAAGACGTTTTAGGCACAATCTCAACTATGTGATTTCTGCTTTCTTTTCGTACAACAATTCTCACAAGTTTTTAAAATCAGTTTCACATCATATGATGGAGATTATTTAGTGTCAGTGCATTATTGAATTGTGTTAGTTATTTGTTTGGGCTGGGTGGAGCACTCACAACAACACTTCTGTCGGCAGTAACACTCACTGGACACGGACTCTCGTCAGTTTTAGCTGAAACATTAAAAAATTGGAAACATTAAAAACCAAAACCCCTATAGACTTGTTTGAACCAAATGTGCCATTTTCTTACATAAAATCAGGGTGGATGGCACTGCTGGTGGAGTATTCAGAGAACTGGTCCACGAAATGTCGGGATTCATTTGTGCGCCAAGACTTTCCGAAATATGCTTGGCATAGCTGACCTACATGGTGAAATAAATAATAAAAATGGAAGAAATTGAACAAAATTCATGACTCCATATTCAAATAACTGCTTTGAGAAGATAAGTGACATCAGATTTTTTTTTTACTTACTGGGGATTTGTTTGGGGTGTCAAGCAAACCTGTACAGAACAGATATACACACACACACACACACACAAAAAAATCACAGATTAATCATTTCTATGTGAAAAATACAGATGACGTACTGATGATATTTCAACTCACCAAAACTATCCTCACCCTGAGGCTGGGTACCTCCACATTTCACAGATGAGATCCTGTTATCATCAAAACAACCAAAAGTAACAACACCAGCACATCAGGAAGACTGAAACAATGGCTTTTCGCAGTGCTAGTGAACAGATATTCACCATGAACTTATGTGCTTGCCAGTACACAATTACTAACATTAACGCTGGTAAAACTATTAAATAAATGTTCTTTCCTTTTAACTCACCCCTGTTTTGGGAGCTGAAATACACAAGGACTGTCTGCTTCTGTCCATGTTAAAGTTCCTTTATCAGAGAGGTATGACACAGAAATGTTGTTTTTAAGTATAACCCAGTGGGCCATCAGTACTTAGATAGATTTCTATATACAGCAGTTTATAAAAAAAAAGTTCTATTAATGAAATGCACTGTCAGATTAAAGTGAAAACTCTAATAGTCAATCGTTACCTTTTGCATTTGTGGACAACTGCTCCTCCTCAGTTTCAGGTGACAAAACTCGATTGTGTCTGAACACTTTGGGTGTTGAAAACAGCTGACTGTCAAGTGAAGTTTTTCCACGGGGCGTTTTGAAAAGTCCCTCCTGATTAGAGCACACATCATGAACTTTTGCTCGCGCTGTAAGAACCTCGAACCAGTTTGGGTCCAGTGGTCCAAGCTCTAAAGGGATTGATTATGAACAGGTTACAGACTATAACTGAGATAATATTCATTGCCTTATACTGTCACACAAAACCTGTCACCTATTTATTGTGAATTCACATTTAAAGTATTCTGCACATGATTAATGTCTTTGCAACTGAGTTTGTAATTAAGTTATTAAACTTTAGTAATCTAGTTAACAAAGTGGAAGTTTTTTCCTTAATCTTACCTTTCCAGATTTCATCTTTGAATAGGTCGTACATGTTTTTTGAAGTAAAATCCATTCCCAGTGACGTGAGTGATGGCTAGATGTTGGTGTAGGGCACACCTGGGAAAACAATGCGTCAAAATATGTACACAACAAACACCTGGAGCTTAAAGATGACTTACATCGACCACGATGAGCCTGCCTCCACCCTCCGAAAGTAGCAACAGACTGACTAAAATACCAAACCGAAAACTCGGTTATAAATATTTCTGTAGGAAACGTTACCTAAAGGGTAACTTGCAGCCACATACTGTTTAAGATATGTCTGTCAAAGCTATCAAACAAGGGAACTAACACCCTGCTAATCGTGCAAAAAGTTGCCAAACGATAAAAGTAGTTCAGGTTTTGAAGACTCAAGAAGACTCACGAAGTTCAATTGCGTGGGCTGTCATGTCGCGACACAACTCAACAAAATGCTCAAAAGATACCACAAAACTCTCACACAAAACTCCAGGAATGCAGTTTTTGCCACTCAGCTTGCTAGCTTCGTGTCAACGCACGCAAGAAAACCCAAATCTCGCGCGCCTCATTCCGGAAGTGACATCGACTTCAAAATAAGAGACCCAAAGAAAGCCAACAGGATTCAGACAGTCTCCGTGCTATCAGACACGCGTTATCAGGGATCACACGATGATACTTTGACCGAGAACCGGCACATCTAAAGCTTATATCAACTGATTTATTTTTACAACTCAGACTAAATATGCAGATAAATGACAGGATCTATATGAATTTTTTATCAATATGTAATAGATGTCCCATGTATAAAAGTTACTGAAAATATCAGATAAGCATTGTAACGTGACAGATTTTCGTTTTTTTACTAAATAAAGTTTAGCTTATCATGGAAGGATTGTGCTTTTGTTTTCTTTTATACTATTTTAAAGTATATGTTTTGTGCTGTTGTGTCACAATAGGAAACAAACAAATAAAATAGCTCTGGCTATTTCGTTAGCCAGAGCTCACACTTACCCGTGATTACAAAGTATTTGGAATGAAAAAATCTTCTTTATTGTAGTTACCACAATCACAAAAGGAGCCAACAGTTAACAAATGTAAATTTTATTGTTGCATACGTTTTCAACAAAATAAAATACATTGCCAAGGAAGGAGTATATACAAGGAAAGAGAGGCTAAGCTTGCTCTGGTTGAAGCTGTACAAATATGTAAATACTCATTCTAAACGCAACTCAAAGTTTAACAGAATAAAAATACAATCTTATGAGTCTGAGCCAAGCTCTCACTTAACTATGTACAATTGATCAGTCAAAATAGTTATATATATTTCATCACAAAATTTCTATGTATTTTAGACTGCACATAATTTGCAAGCTTGGCAAGTTTAACAGATGAAACAGTATATTTACTCTCTATAAATCTAGTCTGATAAAGTTATGTTTATCTCTTGCTTAAAATATAAATAATTCTCCTATTTGCAAAAAGCTGCACAGTTAAAAAGTACAGTAAGATGGTTTATGTAACAATCCCCACGGCCCCCACTGGAGATGTGAGACATTACAGTAGATTTGCAGCATGTCAGAGAAGTTGAATCTTTATCACTTATACTAGTCAGAATCAGTAATTCCACCTGTGATGGTTGTCATACCTAAATTCACACACTCAAGCACATTCACAACACACTGACACCCACGCAGAAATACACACAAATGACCCAAGCCTTTCACAAGTGCTGATGCCTCCCTTTTTCTTTGCAAACAGTGTTTTCCAACATTATGATATGCAAATACATTCTCTCGAGACAGAAAGGGTCTTCCACTTCCTTGATGAATTGCACATTTTCCCTTTACAATTAAACAATACAACGGATGAAGATAGACTCAACTTTGGTGTGTTTGTTAAATGTGACAGTTTATGACCTGAATAGCATGCGGTCGCTTTGTGATGCTTTGTTTTATTAGTGCAAGAAAATACTAACTGTGTTATAACAGTGAAGTCACTGGTCTGTGTGAAAACCACAGTACTGCCACACGTCTGAAGATCTGAGTCTATGACATTCAGATGTACTCTGTGAGAAATAACAGGAAATTAGTTTTTGGTTACTCCCAGAAGAGTGCAGAGTTCCTATGAATAGCTGAAATGAGAGCAGCTGCCCCAGACAGGTTGAGACTTTAGGTGCTGTGCAGTTAGGTGTCAAACTCTCAGAGAGTTGAACCCGAAACCTTTGAGTCTGGAAGAAAAGCTGTGATTGCTCTGTATCCCTGGGCTCGTCTGATCATGTCCCGAGTCTCTCCATTAAGTTCCATCAGCTTGACGGAAATTTCCGTGAGATCCTGCTTTGAGCCCACCAGTGCAAAAGTCCCTGTCTGACCTAAAGTCTGATGCCTGAAGTAAACATTCAACAGTGTTTGAACCTCATCTTCAGAGTGGCTGCCAAATATGTCATTAGGCCATGTTGTTCTGCAAAAGAAAAAAAAGAGATATTAGCAAGCTACAAGGAATATTTCTCAGGGGAATAACTGCTTTGCTTTCCATACCTGCATTCACGAATGTAGCGTATGGCTGTTGAAAACTCATTGTTCTTTAGACCCTCCAAGATGGCCTGCACTGCAACCTCAGAGGAGCTGAAGACGGACTCGGAACAGGAGCTCTTACAGGCTGCAGCTTCATCCTTTGTCACAGAGGCGGCGGCTACCCTCAGGCTGCTCTTCAACTCATTTAGCTCTCTGGACATGTTTGTGAGCTGGAGGTCGAAAGATGTAAAAATCAATCAAGATGGATACACAGGTGGTGCAATAATCCATCAAATAATAAACATTAAACAAACAAAGATCTACCTCAGGAATGGAGCTTATTGAGTGGACCTGTTGAATCAGCTTACAATAGGACTGAAAAAGCAGCAACAACTGAAAGTGGAGTTTGTAGAGTCTTTGACAGAGCTCCAGTTGCTAAGAGGCAAGAGAAAATATTTCTTAATGAGTATTTGATCAATTAGAAACTTACAAACCAGTACTATCAATAATGTATTAAGTCACTATATAGTTGACAATTATAAATACATTTGACAAGCAATTGCAAAATAATTATTAAGCGTTCTTTTAGTGAAAGAGGAAATGAAAAAAAGCAGTATCAAACTTACAGCCAGAGATTCCATTTGCTATCAAGCAAAGATGTTACAAGTCAGAGAAGAAGTAAAGGAAGCAGAATTAAGAACATGCAATTACTTGTGATTTCCATTCAGAAGTGGTGACAGATTTTAGAGCATGTTATCTAAATGCCATGCACAGAGGAGGATGAAACTGAAAAGCGAGCTGTCTGACATCATGAAATAACCCAAAAGTCAAGAGAAACAAGCCAAGCAAATCAACAATTAATTTGACAAATGAACTCTCTTCATTAGAAACGTCGAGGCTCGTTAAACATTTTGGCAAGCATTTTGCTGTCATGTATCCTCAGCTATGAAGTGAGTATAATTGCTTACAGCTGGAGTTATTGCAACAAAAGATCACTCTTTTCCATGCTGAACAGAATTCTGTGTAATCACAATGCACGACAGAGTTTGAGATAATCAATATGACATGCGCCAATATGACACTGACGGGAGCAGAGAAAATAAGAGGTAACACTCACAGAACTACAGTGTCACACAGAAACGCAGAGAGTGTAGTACAAAAGATCAGAGGAAGTGGCTTCCTTAGTAATTGAGTTATTTTTCTAACACGTCCAAATTGAACAGCTATTTGCTCCAACACTGCCCAAATGCATGAGCTAAACCAAAGAACAGACTAGATCTGGGTTTAACACTATCACCTGACTGACCATGCTGTCAAAATAACTAATGTTTTACCTGCTCCTCATGCTCCATGGGTTGACATGTTATAACTGAGCCTCCAGGACTCCTGGGAAATGTAGCTTTGCAGTTGTTCAACCACTGTGAGCAACAGAAACAGCATGACTACAACTCCTAAGACAAAGCAACAATACGAACATGACATCTTATTGGGCAAACGCCGCATCTCCTTACAGTGACAGCCGCCTCCTTCCTGTTGTTGTAAGTGTCCAGGTACTCTTGAAGTTCCAACACGCTAAATTTGATTTTTTCAAGGAGTCCATAAGACATGATCTGTAGAAGTAGATTATTGATTTGTTCTAATTCTCACCAACTTGACATATTAAAGAAATAAGCATTAGAGACGGTAAAGATCCAGTTACTCACTGTATCAGCATCAATAAATAGAGTTGGGCAGTCGGAGCATGATGCCAGCATCTGTGAGGACATCAGAAACTTTGATCCTAATCCTCTCAAGCCATCACCAAGGTAACTCACAGCATCGCAAGTCAAGAAGCAAAATTTGGACTGGATACTCTGCAAACCAAGAAGAATGCTGGGTGTAAAAAAGCCACTTCAGTATCACGCAAGATTTCATTATTACAATTTTACATAACTCAAGTTGGTCAGATTTGGTTGTTGAAGTGAAAAACATCCAGTTTATGTTTTGTGTGTTTGGGTCTTTAAGTATATGCCTTACCAACGCATAGTATACCACCAAACAAAACTTGACAAAGCTTCTAGAATTGTTTAACAAACACAAATATTTTTGCAAGCAAAAATGTCACCAGTTAATATCTAAATCTTTCCTATCAATGTTTATGTAAAGTGTATTTTTCAAACAGCTTGCTAGCAGACACGCAGTGATTCCAGGAATTATTCTTTTGTAATACCTGAAAGAGTGAGGAAAACACTTGAAAAGTGTAGACAGCACAGGACCCATCCGAGTCACACACGAGCTGGTTGATGTGGCTTCTCCAGGCCTCCTCAGCATCATCGCACACTGTCGGCTGGAACGCCGCGATAATGGCAGAGAAGAAGGGAGATGGCGGCGGTGAAGAGCGTAACTCCAGCAGGTCATCCTTCTCTTCCTCAGCAAGCCTGAGTGGACACCACAACATGCTCAAAGGAACTTTTACGTCATATCATTTGGATTGGATTCAACGTGTGAATGTGTACCGTGGCAGGCAGCCGTCCAGGTCTAGTTCTGCTCTGCAGTCACTGTAAACCGTGTCAGCCATCAGAACCTCATCACAGTGACACTCAGGAGGAAGCTCTGTGATTGAGAGGGAGATTTCCTCCTCATGGACATTTGTATCTTCATCTTCTTGTGAATCTTCATGCTTAAAGAACAAAAGAATGGATTCTCAGAAAACGGTAAAATAACATAGAGTCATAAATAAAAGACAAAGCCAGCATGCATGAAATGGGAATATCATTCCTTTTGTTAATCTTCATGATTAAACAGATGACTTGGTGGATAAAGATATACACTGACCTTTCTCTGGGACCCTACAGGCACTCCTTGTGGTGTTTTCTTTGATTTGGTAAATTTAGTGTTTATAGATTTAGCCAATTTACCATTTAATGCTTTAACTTAGTCAGCACTGTGGCTATGGACACTGTTGGTTTGGAACAGGCAATGTGTAAACCTTTCTTTACCCAAACATGCCAAAAGTTTTAGTTGTTGCTTAGAGCCACCCACACAGAAGCGATAGGTATACACATTGCCTTGAGCAAACACAGGAAGTGAGATGCTTTTTCTTCCCAATGCCTGGTTATGAGCCCCATTTCACGACCCCCAAAATCTGCCACAATTTCAGAAAAGCACAAACAAGCCCATATCCCAATATTATAGATTCTATGCTTGCATTTTTTAGATCATTCTTCTTCAGCATGCAATTACTCATTTATCAAAAAAGGTTTAGCACATGCTCTACTCTGAAGAGAAGAAATTTAGGAACATCAGATAAGAAAAATAAATGTTCAACATACACCGAACTTAAAGTCAACAGTCAAGACAATACATTTACTAAAAGACACAACAGAATGGTTCTTATTTGGCAAAATTAGTAAAGAATTCCAGTATAGAGTTGCGATAGGGGTTAGTATTTCCCAGAATCTCAGACACTCTGAAGCCCTTATTCACCCGCTGCTTCGAGTCCTCTGGCAGTTGGACCTCGAAACTGGGATTTTTGGAGCTCAGAGGAGTTGAATCTGCTGACGTTGAATAAAAAAAGGCAGAGGAGGTGTCCATACCACTGATATCTGTTGTTGGAGACAAATTGACAGTCTGGAAGAAAAAAAAGGAAAAAGACAAATATTTTGGAATTCTGAAAAAGAGCACGAGATGAAACGTGCCAGACTCCTGCGGGTGCTGGGAGTGGAGGAGTGGGCAGGACAGGAGTGGAATGACAGCTGGTGTAGACATATGCTCCAGCCATCTGCCAACACATTCTCCATAAACTTTAACTAATATGGTTCCAAAGAACATTTCTGGTCATGAATTAACTGAGACAAAGCAACAAGATTAAAAATGACATGAAGCCGATGGCACGTAAAATGAGATAAACTTACAATGTGTGAGTGGGAAAGTGTCTGGCTGGCAGCGAGGGAATCTTCTTCGGAAGACTCGTCTGAGTCCTCATGGGTGAGCTTGCTGAGGCTGGGCATGCTTATGGACAACTGACTCTCCTCAAGGGGCTGGAGGTCACTTTGGTCCAGACTATCCACAGAGTGCCGGCGGACACCCCAGTTAAAGTTGTCCACAGTTTCTCCCTGCAGCATTAAAAAGGACCGGAGTTACAGAAGATCCAAAATGTGGGTCATGGAACCATTTGGAGCAAAAAGCATGCACACGCATATGTAAAGTATTGTGTATCAACACAAACATGCAGTGCAAGTTCACGGGTGGATATCATTGTCTGGGAGTTGTTTCCTGCCTAAAAGAGCTGGGGCACCAAAAAAGCTCCTTGAAATATCATGAGCAACAATAAATAAGCTGCACAGCTTGAGAAAATGCCAGCCCCTGCAAGACATTCTAAGACTAAAAGAAGTCAAACAGTTTCCCCTTTCCATGAAAGTTACCCATTTATAAATAAAAAAAAGGACACTTTGTGTGCTGAGTAAAACCAATAACTAATAAAAACCAATGGATTTGAGTTTGGATCAGTCTCTTCTATAACAGTCAAACCATTTTTCATATCTTTCACAAACACTTGTTTGTTCACTGCTTGAGTAAATCTGTGCATTAAGTATTTTTTCTGGAGGGAATGCCCACTAATGTGACACACAGATGGGACACAGAGTTGTTTAACAAATTAGGTTTTTAAGGGAATAAAGGCTTCTATGATGTGTCAACATGTTTTCCACTTGTGACTGTCAAACTATCATACTGTGATGTAAGTTAAAAATGTGTGTGCAAATAGTTTCCAAACCGTGAAGTGAATCTGTCTTTCATTCCTCAGCTATTTTGAACATGTTAGAATCACTTTTAGAAACTGCAAAGCGTGCACAAACATGGTACTCCTATAAAATGCTCTGTGTGCACGAACACTTATTTAGAGAGCATGGCAATGTATTTGAAAATACAACAAATCTAAACTTACCTGTAACTCCTAGGTGGCACAGGCAGAGAAAAGAGACAGAAATCCCATTACTCAAAGCTTGTAGGCCCAACACATAACAAAAAATGCTCCTCAGCAGTGAGGGGGAAACTTCTTTCTCACTGCTGTTGCTTCTCCTTTAAAAGTTTACTAATGAGATCACATGTGTAAGAAAACTCACCTCTCCATCTTCAAGCTCAACATCCAAGAAGTCAAAGTCTTTAAAGACTCTGAACTGTTGCTCTGAGGTGGTGTCATCCATGTTGTCTAACTCCCGGGTCCCTTCATCCGATGACACAAGGCTGGGCTGATGCTCCATGAGCTCCAGGTCCCCACAACTGGAGAAGATCACCTATACAGAGAGAAAAAACTCTAAGGTTTATAGATGAATTTGGCATCCAGGAGTTGTCTTACACAAAAGCTGCACTCGTCTTACCGAAGGATTTTTGGTGAGGCCAACTTCTTGACCACACAGATACAACACATTCACCAGTTTTTCTCGTGTTCTTTTCTGTGAAAGGAAAAAAGTTGTATTTTAACCCAAATCAAGTCACAGAATTTTGTATTAACAGTTCTCCAAATTGAAATGATGAGACTCATGAATCTTTAACTCTGTGATGGGTTCTCCCTGACAGATATAAATATGATCAAAAAGAAATACATCTCGTAATGAATGTAATCCTATTACTGAAGAGCCTCCCGACCTGTGAAGACTGAGGCCTCTTCCAGCTGACTGGCACCAGGACATTGTTGGAGGTGGATCCAGAGGAGGTGGAGGAGGTGCTGCGGGTCACTGCTGTGGTGATACTCTTCGCATCGTGACCAGGAGAGCGCTGCAGATCATCGTAACGCCGACCAATCACCGGAGTCTACAAGGGAAAAGGTGCAGACAAAGACTGTCACGGCTGGAAACCTATGAGCAAAAACCTATAAGTTTCCATAGATTCCATAGTTGTAGTTTCCATACATTTTTATAAAATTCTATTTATAACTCAAAATGTGTGGAGATTATAAAAGAAAAAAAAGTTACTTTTACCTATTTCATATTCCTTCTTTTAAAAATATCTGAGTACTCCAAGAAGTATCAGCGGTGGTTCCAGTGTGTTTATTAAGCTTGGAAAGCCAAAACACACTGCTGGCAAGTTCCACTAGAACTCACTGATTCGCACACAAAGAATGGCAGCAAAAAGCTGAGATCATTTCCTGCAATTCATGAACTGCACAAATAGCTCCCTGTTCAGTTCCCACACATATACGTTGCTCTGCTTGTGCAGTATCTTTCACATCACTTTCCAGCTCTGTTCTTCTTGTCTAATTGTGTTTACTTTTCGAGCTTTCGAGCTAATCTCAAAAGGGTTTGGTCCAACATGTAATTTAACCAATGAAGAAGTGGAAGAGAAAAGTTGTTTTTTTTTTCAAACAGCTTTAGAGAGCACCCCACCCAGGAAAATACATGAAAAAACAGAGGGGCCAAACACAGACAAAAGCGAGAAAGACATGGAAAAGAAAAGCACGCAAAGGAGTTTCTTACCTCAGATATGTCAAAGTGGAAATCCAGCGTTTTCCCAGGCAAGGCCTTAGAGGAGCGGTCCCAGAGTCGGCTGTTGTCCTCATAGGAGAGGTCACTCTGCGCGAGGGAAGGCTGAACCAAACTGGCTGAGCGAGAAACCACCAGCTTAAGGATATTCAGAGCTTCCCTCCAATGGACAGTCTGCGGTGAACACAGACACAGACATACATTATCCAGGGCACGCAAACTAAAACGAACAAAAGGAAAAAAAAACACAAGCATGCATTTTTTCTGAGTTTAGTGCATGGTTCTATTTTAAGAACAAGAGGGAAAAGAGGCTACATTTTGAGTACAAGCGGAGGCCTGGCCTGAGCCGGACTATTTATAGCCTGGGTGTGTCTCAAAATATACTGTACTGGCACAAGAGAGTTTTCCCCCTTCCTCATTTTCATGTGCCTTTACAGAAGAAAGAGGGAACAGATAGGCTAAAGTAGACTTTTAGCTAAAGTCTTTTCTAATAACTCAGTCAGTCATCACACATTTTCTAAATACATCTTTTAAGTGTGTATTGTGTTGTTTAGGCTTAAACTCACATGGACAAACTTCTCGATTGTCTTGAGCACCTCTACGTTGAACGGTTTGGCCTGAATTCCACTCAGGTCCATGTGACTCAGGAGGCTGTAGATGATTTGCAAAAGTGTCTGCTGCATAGTGGGGAGGCCCTTCTCCAGCAGCTGTTCAACAAGAACAATTTTAAAAAAGTAAATTTGTTTGGCGTTTCAGTTGTAATATCGATAAAAATGCACGGGATGCACAAACCTCCGCCATATAAGTGACCAGCCTCAGGGTTATGTCGGAGAATGCCTCGTGGAGATATCGACACACCACGTTGACCCAAGAGAAGCAGTCTCGTGTGTAGGAGTGTGTCTTATACAGCGTCATAACATGAGCAAGGCTGGTGAGCTTGGCATTCTTATCCTCGGCACACACCTGAGCAAAAAAAATACTGCATTACTCCATAATATGTAGCACAGTTAACGCAAAAAAGACATTTATTATGAGAAAGGTCTAACCTGGGCTATTCTCTCAGCAACATCTTGACAAAACTGTGTTGGTGCATCAAAGTTCTGCACAAGATGTGGAAGTAGGCAGAGAACATTCAAGGGGAAACCTGATAGATGGGCCAAAGAAAAAAAAACTTAACATTTCCCCTAAATAATGGGTGTAAATTAAGTTCCATGACTAAACATTTGCATCATTTTTCATTAAAAGTTTAACCGAATCCTCCATTGTACCTATGGCTTGGGACGTGTCCACCACGGGCAGTCTGGACACAGGTGTGAGCTGGCAGAGCAGCTGCAGCGTGAGGTCAGTGGTGGTCACTGAGGTGAAGCCCTTCAGCAGCAGCTGCTGGAGCCCAGAGAAGCTGCTCCACTTCAGTTGGCTCTGCAGTTTCTCCAGTTTCTCTCGGTTCTCCTCTTTGTCCAGCGACATGTTGGCTAGCAGCTTATTCAACAGTCTTAAAGACATCTGGTACTCGAATTCAAAGTCGGACTCCATCAGTGACACGGCTACCCAGAAGATGGTGGCCAGGAGGTTGTTGGGGTGGTTGATGCTCGTGGGGTCGTTGATGTTTTCTTTAGAGGAAGATGCACTGCGGATATTGGCCAACAGAACCTGCTGCTCAGAGGCTTGTATACGGTCCAGCGTGGCACTGCGGGGGGGATCAGACAACCTGTCTGCCTCTCCAAACTTTTTGGGAACTGAACTGCTCCTCTGGTGCCTGCTCCGCTCCTCTCTGCGAAGGTTGAGCTGTCCGGTGCTCTTTCTGTTGGACAGCTGCTTGAAACTGGTGAGAAAATCTGGAGATGATGCTCTGTAATAATAAAAAAAAAAATCAGAATTGGAGTGAATTTCTAATAGGCAAGACTTTAAAAATAAATACCTTTGGATTAGACACAAACCTTGTCAGGATAGCCATGACATCATTGTTTTTGAGACATTCAGCCAAGTTATCCACCACCGATTCCAGTGTGAGTAACACTTCCATCACATAGCCCTGAGAGAGAGGAACAAGCGTTTTAAATATTCCTAAAAAAATGTATTCTTTAGTATGAATGATTTTAACACATAGTTTTTTCATTACAAAAAAGGAAAGTCCTCAGTTCCCTGTTCATATTTCAACCATGACTCTCTCTGTCAACACTGTGGTGCATGGCTGGCTTTACTTTGCTGTCATGACCCTCTGTGAGCACTGACCTGCACTTCTTCTCCGTGCTCACCGATGACTTCCACCAGCCTCGCAAGCAGGTCGGAAACAGCGTGGGCAGAAATGGGCTGGCGAAGGGCTCGGAAGAGCTGAAAGGAGCGTCCGGCGTAGTGGCGGGACGAGCTGCACAGAGCCGTCTGCAGAGCCACCTCACTGAGCTGCTGCTCCAGGTAGCACGCTAACCCGGGTGGACGAGAGACAGAAACCAGCAAAAACGTTAGCATGAGTTCTGTTGTGCCGTTGATGAATGACTAATGAGTGTACGCTGGGTGCTTACCTGACTTAGACTCTTTAAACACAGACACCACGTGTCTCAGGAAGTTTGTCAGCTGCCCCATGCTCTTTGACATTTGGTTCTTCGGTGAGATGTCTTCATGGCACCACAGTGGTCCATAAGGCCTAGAAACAAGTATTTCTCTGTTACTAACAACTACAAAATGTATCAGTGTTGCTGTTGGGTCAGTTAGCTGATGAATTTCTTGTGATACAAGATCAAATTCAGTCTTTTCTTTTGTAAAGTATGATAAAATATGTTTATACAAGTTGTAATTCAAATCTATCCGTTTAACTATTCTGTGAACAGATTGTGATACACTGAAGCACCACTAGGTGGGTCCCTGCATTAGGACATGCAGAAAAGAAAGTCTACTTGGAATGTTATGCAGAAAACATTATTGCTGTATTACAAATATTCATTTAAAACTATCAAGAAGAAATAAACATTAAGACCTGTACCTTGTGGTTAAAAACTCAATGAGTTTGTTCGTCTTCTCATTGACTTTACTGGAGCCAACCAGCACCTCCATGTCCTGTGTAATCTCCGGCAGGTTGTTACTGCTGCCGCCAAGACTCAAACTGGACGATGTGGATGAGGAGCTCAAGCCAGAGTCTGGTACAGGAGATGACTGGCCCTCCCGCAAGAAGTCGTACCCTCCTGATCAGAGGAAGTGTGTGATTACAAACTGCTTTTTGGTGGCTTGCTCTTGGAATGTTTGTCACATTTTCAGCAACATGCAGCTGCTGATGGCAGTGCAAGAAGAATATACATGTGGAGCAGCATGACCTCTGTTTAACATCGCCTGGAATGTAAACCAACTACGCCTCACTGGCCGACTGCATTGACTTAATGTGGGGAAACTGTCAAAATGAACTACCAGTTTGCCACTCACCTAATCACATCATTATTCATCAAAAAGGTATTCCTTCTGCAAAGATTTCAGTGAAAACATGAAGGTTGTTTTTTAATTGCAGGGGAAGGTTAGTTGTTGTGGGCTATCATTGCTGAAATATGAATGGTACACTGGATAAACAATACTTTGGATGTTTTACTATTTGTAGACATTAGCAAAACAGTTTATCATTATAAGGAAGAGTGAAGTTAAACAAGCAACCTATCTGGGACTGAGCAGATGGTCCCGATTTGGGCAAGAGGACAAAAATAGCAGAAATGGAATGCTTTAATCAAGACCTTTCACGTCCTCTGTGGTAAATAATGCTTTTGGCGCAGTGTCCAAATATTTTCTCCCAAGATAAGAAGTGTATCTGTCCTCTCAAAGGTATGCAAACCACCCCCTTCTGATGTTAAAGTTTATATTTGTGTCAGACACAGAGTTCCTGTGCCGCCTTTGACATGCCTTTCTGAGTTCTAGATCAAGTTAATAATATCTTTACCGGATGGTAAATATTCTGGCTGCAGGCTGGTTTTGCAGGTCAGTGTTTTGCCGACATTGATCTCGCGGGTCTGCAGTAAGACTGATGCAATGGCCCGATAGTTGTTGTTACAGGACAATGTGATGAGCAGGTGAAGGAGGAGACGTTTGCTGTGCTCAAAAACCTCCGGGCGACAGTGATCCATGCCTGAAATAAACAATCGGTTGAGTTGAAAAAAATAATGCCTAAAGTGTACTGTAATACACTGCATTCATAACATGGTTATTTATTCTGGGGCAAATCATACTGTGATTTTACCCAAAAAAAGGGCATGGAGCAGTAATGACAGATGCATGCTCCAGTCCTCTGTCACACTGTGGTCCACCACCATCTCTGTCATGAAGATGACTGCAATATTACACCTGTGGGACATAAAGGGCACAGGTGTAAAAGCACTGGAGTGAATTAACCATGCTTCTGAAAACATATTAAAATCAATTTATCAAACAATAATTAGAGTGGCTCTAACCTGTGCAGTGGTCCCCGGGGAGTGATGGTTTCCGGTAAATAGTCCACCAGTGGAGCCCAGCATCCTCCACTGAGGGGCATGGGCAGAGGATGGGGCTGGTTGGTCTCAACAACAACCAAGAGCCAGTCAGCATAGGGAGGGAGAGGTTCACCTGAAGGGTCACACAATAGTGTTTAATAGAGATGCATTTCAATAATTAGCTTGAAACACAACATCTTGGAAGATCTTTTTAGTTCTGAGACAAAGTTTGAACATTTACTTAAGGATTCTTTTTGCTGTGCAATTATTTTTGACTCACATTGAGACTAATTCAGCAACAAAGCTGTTTTTGGGTCAGCAGCCGGCGCACAGGGGCCCTGGGCTCAACTGCTTGTGTTTTGGTGCCAGTTCTCACAGAATCCCTTTAAAAGCCCTGGGCCACTCAGCCCCGCTGCTCATGCATTATCGATGGCACCACGCCGGCTACCAACTTACTCTCCAAGCCCATGAGCCAGCTTTTGCATTTTACACAAAAAAACAATGGCAACAACAGTCATTTTTATGGTTTAAGGACAGAGAAACACTCACTCTTCTCTTCATCATAGGATCCTCCTGAACTGTTGCTGTACCGTGATTCCAGACGGGTGTGTGCTCGCATGATGTGACTCAGCCTGAGATAAGTGAAAATACATACATCAATATTTCTAATGTGGGTGTTGCTGATGATGCAGTCTGTCTAATCGCAACATTTAAAACCATTTAAAATCACTACACATTCTACCTTTCCTCATTCTCCTTCATTGTTTTGGTATCATCTGTGTCGGGAAAACTCTCCTGGCCTGCCACAACAGTATTGCTGCTCGATGTTGTGCCTGAAAATGAACAGAAAAAAACAAAATAATTTATAATAGATAAATGGAAAACAGAAGATCTATCTTGCTGACCACTAAATATTTTAAATTATTTTTGTCAGGGTTTTCCTATTAAGAAGAACAAATAGCTTCTGCTGTTTATTGTATAGATCAAGCCAGTATTTATAACTGTTGTTCACCTTGAGAAAAAAAAAAAGATCAGTGGGCGGGACCTTTATAAATATAAAAAGACAGCAGCAACACACTTCCAAGGCTTGATTATTATAGACAGATCATTTTTAGAGAGATACTTCTCCCCAAAGGCAGACCGAAAGGATTTTGCAAAAGGAAATGGCTTTTATCCTTATTATAGCCAGAACAATATTTGAACTCTTTCAAAACTGTAGATGTTTTTCCCCATCACATATACATGTAGACCTAGCCCAGGGGTCGACATGAATAAAAGAAATGACCTGAGGCTGCTGCAGAGGCTTTGCTGGTGGCAGTGAAGCGATAGAAAGGAGGGCTGTCACAGTGCTGCACCACAGGATTGACTGGATCTGTTTGTTGAAGTTCGAATATCAGCTCCTCCATGACCGGGATTGTGTTATTTCGGCAGAGATAAATCACAACCTTCTTGATCTGAACAGACATACGGCAGAGTACATGGGATTACCCGAAAGCTGTTAGAAAAACATGCATAACGTTTTCTCCTCGTGTCTGAACATCTTACATATGGGAGCAGGGCGGTGTCACTGCTGACGCCGCATAAGCTGAAGAGGAACTGCAGCGTGGTTTTCAGATTGTTGCTCCACTTTTCATTGCTGACTAAAGCATTCCAAGCATTCTCCATCTCTGATCCAGGTAGTTCGTCACCATACTAGTAAGGACGGTTACAAATGGCCACATTAGCTTGCACTTATCTCATCTTAGCCTTTCACCTTGGCATTAAAACCCAAAACATCACTTTACCTTGGCAGTCATGAACATGAGGTTGTTGAGGACCATGGATGTAGCTTGTAATGATCCCCAGCCGGTCCCTTTCAGCTGGTGGGATGAACCTGTGCCGGTCAGTTGGCAGGGGGAGTCGTAGCTCGGGGTGGACGGAGTGAGGACTGGAAGCAGCAAGCCACTGTCGACCAGCTCAATGTTCCCAAGCCACGGCAAAAGGTATGTCAACATGATCTGTCTCCCATTGGGGTGAGTGGTGGGAAACCTTTGGCTGACCTCTGAAACAAGATGAAACACGATACTGACATCAGAAAAAAAGCAGTGGACATCGGCATGTGCAAGATGCATGATAATCAAATACATAAAGCACTTTAATCCAAGTTAGCAAATGTACAAAATGCATCCACCACTATGGTAAATTAAATAAAGAAAGAAACCTTCAGTTATTTGTGTTACTGGTTAGAATTGTGCACTCACATACATACAACACAAACATCTACCTGAAAACAGAGGGAGCGTGAGCTCTGGGTACATCCTGGCCAGCTGACTGGAGAGCTGAGGCAGAGAGACGCTGTACAAAGGTGGCAGCGGACCGTGGGTGCCAAACAGAATACTGCTTGGCTTCTGCTCTGCAATCTTCTTAGAATACTGGAACAGCTTAGCTTCAAGAATCTGTTTGAAAACAGATACAAGTAAGATACTCACATGGTGATTAAGAAGCCCAATATAAAATCAAAATACATCACAACTCCCTGAGTCATAATCATATCCAAATTTGAGATTTCTACACATGCCTAAACATCTAGAAATATAGGATATTGTCCCTGACTTTTGATCATTAAACTGCAACTCATGTGTTCCTGGACAAAGCCTCTTTTGAAAAAGATCAACATGGAAAACTGTGTTTCTCACCTGCATTAGCTGCATTGAAATCTCATAGATTTCTCTGCTACTGTCTGATGCCTTGAAGAGCACCAGATTCAGCAGCGTTACTATGTCACATGTGTAGTTTTTGCTGGAAAAGATAGGAAAAAAGATTAACTGGATGAATAAGACTAAAGTGAATGTTCCACATTCAGTTTGGGTTCATGTTTCTGAGGGGCAAACAGAGGGAACAGAATCAAAGAGAACAGCGAGCCCATAAGAGGATTAAAATACGGAATATTTGGAGTTCATGCTAACATAGTTTTCTTACAGGAACAAGGTATCTGGATGAGTCAGAAATGTTGTACCTGCTGCCACAGACGGTAGCGATGGCTTTGAAGCAGCCTGAAGCGAGCTGGTAGGAGCCTGTGTAGCAGCGATCCACGGCCCAGTTGAATAGGTTGACCTGGTCAGCATTGAGCTCCAAGAGCAGGACAATGACTTCACAGCCAAGCTGGTGGACCTGAGCCAGAGACAGACAAGAACACAGACTCTCTTTAAAGTCATACCTTCCTTCAATCCACGTTTATTTTGATAGATTTGTACAAAGATTGCCATTAGCGCAACATTCTTACACTTGGCTGATAAATTCCCCTTCATGGAAACATGCCAATGAATGCTTATGCTTAATCATTCAGATGCTTTATCTTTTATCACAATAAACTGTGGCAAACATAATGACAGATAAATATTTTCTTAATAAAACTCTCATTCACTACTTGCCAGAAAACGTGTAAAATGATAATGACCAACTAGCCTTAAAAAAAACACAGCTTAAGCATGTCAGGTGGGTCTGCCCTTTGATTAAATGCTACCGCGGTGGCAAAGTATTAGCTACCGACCCGCTGATCCTGGCAGGCCAGTATGTTATCCAGCCATTTGTAAAGATATCCATCTGGAGAGAGGCCAACGTTATCAAAGACGGGGCCGCAGCACAGCACAGCAGACATGGCCTGAAAAAACAAACATTAAAAGTATGCTCATCAGTTCATGACACACTTTTTCAGCGTTCAACTTTTCCCCACAGTTCACAAAGTGACCACTGACCACTCCAACACTTTTTCATATTGTGACAAAACAACATTTAATCTGCAAAACATGGAAGCAGCTGCATGCATTAAAGACAATGAATTAAAAAAAGCTGTGCACACTTCATGCTACAGAATGTATCACTTGACTTTTCAGTTTTTCTCAGAACATCGTCACGTCAGGCCAGTGAATTTTCTCACTGGTGTTCAAGACTAAACATAAGTCAGTTAACTCGTGTTTACCTTTAGTGCACAATACTGATATCTTGTGATCTGGTGATTCCTGTCACTGTAGCGGTCCAGAGGAGTGAACATGATGCTGAAAGGTCCGGCCCACTGACTGAAGAGGATGAAGAGGTGATGCCGAAGGCTTTGCTGTGGAAACAGGAAGCGCCTTTGGTGCACTAAGGACAGGCACAAAGGAAGCCGTTAAAATGAGTTCAGCGATAAATGAGAGTGCGAAGAGCCGGCAAAATGATACGGGGATGATAACTATGAAAAGCTAAATTTTTTGTATTATAATCAATGGTTGTGGTGCCTTGGTGGAAGCAATGAACCAAGTGTGTAGTGGTGTGTGTACTGCAGAGCACTGGGAGTAACCGACAAGAAAGGACTGTACAGTTAAGCTAAAGGCGATGTGTACCTGGTACACATTGGATGAAGTTGGCCACCATAGCGCTGAAGTGAGCTCGGATGTCCTTCAGAATCTCTGCATCTTTGTCGTTCTCTGCCTCCAGCAGCATCCGAGTTAAATCCACATACTCCAGGAACAGAGCACCGAGGGCAAGGGTGTCACGCTCCAAAGCTCCATTTGTGCTGGAGGATCACAGAATTAACGATGTAGCAAAAAGCAAAACAACAAAACAATAGGATGAACCCAAGTGGGCAGCATTTGCCAGCTAACACACTAACCTGTCACTGATCACGCCTGCGTCCGCCAGCAGCTCAAAGATGCGCAACAGCTGCAGTCTCAGGAGGTCCCGCCGCTCACGCCGCTTCTTGTTCTGCAAAGAATCGTTAATACAAACCGCTGATGACAAAAGGCCTTGGAAATAATTTCCTCAATTAGTTCGTTCAATGCTTTTACTAATTGTATCACAACTGTGATCAACAGACCTCTGGTCGTCTTTCGAGCGCCTCCTTCATGAGGGGGTGTAACTCCTCCACAAGCTCCCTGTGTGCAGACAGTAAAAACATTAACATTTTTGATTTACCTATTTCTGTTTTTCGAGGACATTGGATTTGAGTCAAATCTTTGGTCCCTTGGAAATTGTTACTACGCAGCTGTAATTAGTGATGAGGCACCACTCAGGTATAATCCTCTGTTCATCATTTCAAATTCACAAAAATATAGGTCAGGGTAGCTTTTAATTATGAGGAAAATAATGCATGTTAGTTCATTCGCTACCTCTCTGATTAAAAGAGAAAAATAAAGACTGCAGATTAAATCAGTGTAAGCAAGCTATAAAAGATCAAACTTGATCATTTCATGCAAATTGTAATTTGTGAAAGGAAATTTGGTGGCATATTCACTTTGTCAAGAAGCATAAAATTTAGATTAGAATGAGGGAAAAAACTGGTATTTATTACCTGAATATGAGGGAATTGGTGCGACCGAATCCCAGAACTAATGACTCTGTCAACTCGATGCTCTCTGACCTCATCAGTGGGACCAACTGTTTCAGGAGCCAAGCCACAGATGGGCTTCCGATAACCTGAAACATCAAAAACAGGCTGTTCAGTCACAGTTAAATCTCTCATGCTGCTTGAACATCACTAACTACTCAGGATGGCAGAGAGATAAGTGCACATTCATTCAAGAATATATCAGCTTTCCGTTCCATTCATGCAAAATTGCTGCTGTGTGATTTGATCCTTTAGAGTGTGAACGTCAACAATGTCTGAGCGAACACCTGATCCCGGGGTAACAAAGAACCAAGGGAATTACTGAGGCCGGAGAATGGGGAGGCAGCTACCTTGTTATCGTAGCTGACACCGCTGTCAGGCGTAGGAGTCATGATCTCAGGTGTCGACGCTCTCAGATGACCGGGGCTCATTATACTGGGCTTGGCCACCCCAAAGCAAAGGATCAGGTAGTTTCTCCATAGGGTTACATAATTATCCCCACTTCCAGGGTTACTTGTCTTCTTTGCATACACTGGATTGCTGATAAATATGAAAAAAATGACAGTTTACATGATTTTCAATTGTATCAATAAGGGCTCAGCCATCTGGAGACCAAATTAAAAAGACAAACCATTTAAAGGGTTGTTCCTGATCTCACTACTATATGTGAAATTACTTACTTTGGGTCTACCAGGGGCATTAGCATCTGCAGGCGAGTGAAGGCATACGGCCAGGCGTAGCTGAGGGCTGTGGGGCAATGCTTGGGCAGGTTGTCCTGTCGGAGGAGGCTGTAAACACACAGTACCCACGGATCCTTCACAGACTGGGCAAAGATCCACACATGTGAGGGGCTCCTGATGTCATAATGACTGTTGACAAGCAGTGCATTCCACTCCATGAGCCACTGCAGGTCCACGTGGTGACCGGCAGCCATGGCGGCCTGCAATGTGCCAGTGACACAGCACAGGAAAAGGTCAGGGTCACCACCAAGATAGACATCCTAAAAGAAGCATCATCCATATCTATCTTTCTTTTCACGCTTATGTGAAAGAGGTATAATTCAAACAAGAAGAAATCTTAAACTTTTGTTTGATTATCAATTGTTTGCCACAATATATACAAATCAAATAACAAAGATTGCATTGACCACATAAATGAGACAGTCATCAATTTCCCACTTTTTATACAGGATCTTCCTGTTTAATCATTGAACTATCCCCTAATAATTAAACAACATAAACTCCCCGCTTTACAACTGAATCAGAAGGTCCAATAAAACATCTTTAAAACATCTTTAAAACCTTTGAATACTTGCACACAACTTATTGGCACAGATCAATACAGCCTAACTTTGTTGCTATTAGTTTAGAGCTTGGTAAAAGGAACTACTGTGCTTCCAATGCCCTCTACAAGCTAACAATTTAGATCCAAACATGCAAAGATTTGCAACACTGTATTAATACTACATCCCCTCCTGATCAGTACAGGTCTGCTCTGATTGGCCCATTTTTGGTTTGGAGTGCAAGCAAACAGCTCAGTCTCTGTTTGGGGTATTTGAAACCAGTCACTCCACTGGTGTTACATAGTGATGTTGTGAGGAAGAGCAACAGCATGGGCAATAAATGAGGCATTTCAAGTATTTTCCAAACCTCGAAGAGCTTTGAAATTCTGCCATTTTTTTTCATGCAGGCACACAAAAAAGATCTACCTCAAAAACACCCCTTCATCGACATAATAAACTAAATTTATTTGCTGCTTTGTATAAATATTCTGCATCACGCTGAATTGCTCAGTAACAGGAAACCGTCTCTTTAGAGTTGTTTGAACTGCTGGAGAGGTCAGAACTAATCTTCATGTTGCTTTTCTATGTGTGAACCAAGCCACCCGATATTAACCTCATCAGAGTAAACTTCTGGGAAACTAACATTTAAACACACAGACCTGTATCATGGTTGCGGATTTACTTTGGAGCTGAGCCACAAAGATTAGCTTACAAACAACTTACCGAGTCAGAGACAGCAACACTGACTAAACTTTCCAAGATAAGCGGGCTGAGCTGGTCCATAACTTCCATCATCGGTTTATCGTCATCCTGCAGGTGACAAAACATGGAATCTCATATCAATCCCTCAAACAGTATGGGATTTGGCCTCAAGTGTGGCTTCTTTTTCTTTTACCTCAGACTGCCCAATGGTCATAAAGAGACTCCGTATCTCTTTGAGAATCCCAATAGCGAGTCTACGAGAGCTCAGCTGGCAGGAGCAGAGCAGCACCAGAGCCAGTCCCTCCACAGAATGCAGCACAGTGGTGTGAGGACCTCGTTCTGCAGGCATCTTCAGACGTGAGCTGGACTGCAACCATAATATGCACACAAAAAGAAGAAAAAAGTTGATTTTCCAACTATCTTATTAAAAGTAAAAGCTTTCCGCTAAAATTCCTGCAACAGCTATTAGCGAAAGCAAGCATTTGCCTAAATAAATAACAGAAAAATTAATATAAGAGGGGAAAATCATGTAATTCTCTCCTACTTAAGTTAAATAATAAAAATGTTTTATAATTGACACATGAATTACCTCAACAGAGTGCATTTTTGCGTTGTCAGGGCTCTTCCCTGACGCAGCCAGGGTCAGTCTCCACTGTGTGAGCAGCTGTAGCAGTAATTTGAGGGAAGAATCTAACAGTCCCTGGTGGGTGTCCTGGACCTCCCGCAACAGGAAGTTAGTGAATCCAAACAGGACATCATCACGCCAGTCAGGGAAATCCACCAGCAGGCTTTGCAAAGAATTCTGGGCGATGAGCCGGAGCTCGTCATCCATATGGATGGTTAATCTAAGGGTGGGGGGGAGAAAACGTACACAGAATGAAAACAGTTCTTGCAGGATCAGAATAAGATTTAGCTGTATGGTTTAATTTTAGGAACCAGGACTATACGGGTATCTTTTGCTGAAACAACTCAGCTATATGTCTATGAAATCACCATTTAGGTGGCCAATGAGAAGACTGATTCGGTGAGATACCATTTGGACTGACTTGGACCATTGTATCCGGTGACCTACCGAGAGAGCAGGTCTATGAGCTCAGGCTTGGACATCCCATCAGGCAAGATTCGAGGAATGGCGGCAACACATGTCCTAAACAGGTCGATCTTTGGCTTCCTTTCACCTCTGAAAAGATCAGACTAGTGCTGTGATATCTTAGTCTGCTCTAAAATTCAAATTGATCACTCAAAAAAAATCACATCATATATTATATAATGGTGAGTCATTACTGGGACATGTGTAACATCTGAGTAGTTCAGTTCAGCATGTGTTCGCTTACGTGATCATGTCCTCAGGCTCCTTGTTCAACATCTGAGCATTGGTCATCATCATGCAGCGTCCCACCTCCTTGTCCAGGTGTCTGAGGATGTTGTCAATTGCCTTTCGCACGTGAAAATAATATTGTGACATCCCTGGGGAAAATGACAGAAGAGAAATAAAACACATCCGTAAAAATCCACATCAAATTAGAGAGCCCAGTAAAAAAAATGTTCACTTATGACACTTATTTGTGTCATACTTCAGACGAGTCAGAGAAAATATAGAAATGCTGTTAATCTTATTTGACTGTCTTGGATGTAGATTAATAAACATGAAACTACCTAATTGGAGTGCTTAAACGTGAGATTTCACAAAACTTTAAGTAGAAACTGTTGTATTAATGTAAGAAATTAACTGGACGTATTTTATGGTGATATTTGTTCGTTGCTATATCAGTAAATGCTGATTTCCTATTTGAGTTAAGAATAAAGAAGAATAAGTTGTTTGCAGTTTTTATGAGACTGAGTCTGAAGAAGCAAGATATTTCTGACCATGATCTGTCCCACTCACCGATGACTTTGGCCTCCTCATCTGTCAGGGTTTTGCTTAGGTAAGTCTTCTTCACTCGGAGTGTGTTCCCGGAGGGCAAAGTGCAACCCGTGTTTGGCATCGGAGGCTCTCCGTCCTTCTGCTGCAGTTTATCAGCTATCACCAGGAATGCCCTCAGACCTATATTCATTCTCTAAGAGGAAAAGTAATTTCAGCTGTGAAATACTTGTTTTTTTGTATATCTTTATTAGATCTCCGAAGCATTTATCAATTAAAATTAAACTACTTTAGTAAAAAAACTAAATAAATCACAAAAAACGCCCGGCATTTATATATTCTAACTTATTGCTGTAATGGTTACTCCCCAAGTTCTTTTGAAGTGTGAATTTACAAGTTTAAAACACTTTTCAGAAATTGGTAAAGTGTGTCTTTTTAGGGTGTATCTAAACCATCACAAAGGTAAATGCTGAAGATATACCTCAGGATTAAGACTAAAGGCTTTTGCAGGTTTTCCAACACTGAGCAGGTCATAAATAATCTCTTTCATGGTAAAATCCAGTCTTTCCTGTAATGAAATAAAAAAACAACATTTTTGTCAAAACTAACAATGAGAGCATATTGTTGCCTTTATAGTTCATTCTCACTTGTCACTGTGCTTACCTGTGCTATAAACTGAATGATTTTGACAAAAATGTTGAGAGGCATATCTCTTGGAACTACGCTGCGGGATCCTTTCGGGAACAACGTTGTAACAATGGTGTTGAGACGACTATGGGCACAAAGAAAATTAAACATCACTCAGATATTGACTGAAAATGCCTCCGAAATTTTTTTTTTTAAAGTCTTTTTTTTTTATATATAAGCAAGCTAGGCAAAAATGGTTAATTCTGGAATGAAACATAAATATATGGACAAATCTTTCACATTTTTTACTGAAAAGGGAAGTAAAAGGAATGATGGATATTTACCCCTGAGTCGCAGTGTTGCTCTCACATTTTATTCTGATCATGTAGACCCACAACAGTCGATACAAGGACTCCAGTGCAATTCGAGCCATTTTCGGGTCTCTACTCTGAAAACAGATTAGAGTGACAGAACCACTTTACAAAACCATTTTCTTTTAAAAGAACAATACTTTCTTGTCTGATTCATTAACTAAATAAGATCACTGCTGTAAAGGTACAATGTGTCAATGATTCCTTAAGAAGAAACGGTAAATCCCACTGGCAACCTGCTAGAATCTGGCTTAAAGACACATTTTAGAGTTACCTTCAGATTTGAAAGACAGTTGTTGAGGAAGACATGCCATCTGTTCAGGAAGAACTGTTTCTGGCTGACACACAACAGGCACGTCACCAGAGGGTACAGAGCCTGAAAGGACACAGTTAAGAAGTTCTTAATAAACACCATTTTGTAATAACAGCCTCACAACAAATATGATAATTACAGTAATGATTATATATTAATTCTATGTTTATGCAGCCTAAAGGGAATGTAAACCTTCTATAAACAGCATGCTGTGGTTCCTCAGGGGCTGCTGTTTTCCAGCAACTAGTGCTCTTTATTCAAGACACTTTGGGGGTGGAAATGGGGATTTACTATGCTAACATATACTGCGCTGCTTCCATGCCCCTTTTATTATCTAACTGCCCTCATAAATTGTTTTCCCATAAATTGTTTGCAGTGTGGACTATAACAATATGAAATAACAGCAGACAAATGTGACCTTGAGGATTCATTGCAAAGAAGGCCACTGTGCACCAGAGGCCGTCCAATTTACAATAAACAAACACCCAGCCACCCCACCAGTGTCTATTTGTTTTCTGTTTGTTAACCGACCAACGAATGCTTCTTTCTGGACGAGTGCTCGAGGGTCGTGTCGTACAAGCTGTCCACAAAGTTCCTCAGGCAGGGGACGTTCACCTCGTTCTTCACAGCCTGAGAAAACAACAGACAGAGCTGCGTGAGAAGACACAATTCTCTCCACTCTGGTCAGCTTTCTCCAGTTGAATCAATTATTATTAAATATTGTTAAAATACCGCTGCAACAGGAACCAGGATCTCCACAAACAGGCCAGCCAGGGCATGCTTGATGTCCTTATCCTTAACTTCGAGGAAATACTGAGCACAGTCCTGTTGGATCAACAGTAAAACCTTTGAAACTATAATGCACTTAGAAAACAGCTGTTGCAGAAAATTCTAAAAAAAATTTAAACATACATATGTTTAAAGGTTAAGAATATAACATGAACTGACAGAAAACAAATAAGCAAAGAGAGTAGATCAACAATAAATCTGTTACCAGTCCATATATACACTGAAGTCTGATGTACCTGCATGAATTGAAAAGAAGCTTCAAAATCCTCAACAGGATACATCTTAATTCGGAAGAACTTGACACCCATTATGAGGCTAATGGTACTCTGCACTACGTATGGACTCTGTTCCTTCTTCCGCAGCTCCTTTAGCTCAGTCATGAACTTCTTCTTCACAGCAGGAAACCTGGGAAAAACAACCAAATGTGTATCTACATTAAAACACATGGAGCTCATGGTTGTGATGCTATGACATCAAGACATTCTGACACACGGAGGGAAACCATCAAGAATGAAATTACATCCTCTTGCCCTTAATGCACAGACTCTGACGCTGGGCCCCAGAATAAACTCCTCATCTCACACTTGGTCAATTTCTCAATCTAGCCCAGAGATGAGATTCTTCAGATGCACTAAATATAGAACATAATCCATCAAGGGAGTTAATATAAGCATCTTCCCTGTGGGTTTTTTTGTCTGAGATACTGAATATAAATCCACATCTGCATCATGTAGGGACTGACAGTTTATGAGTGAGACACCATATTCAAATTGACCTCAAATGTGCTCACATAAAACACTTCCAGCACAAATAATGCCAATTTCTTCCCTTTGCCTGAGAGGAAAGTATATTCTTCTGTTTTTCTTAGTAAATCGTCTACTGCAGGAGATTAGGCAGAGAACACTTTGAAAAGAAGGTATGCTGCTCACCAACCATGTCTACATTACGGGTTTTCCCCTTGCTGTGGTGATCCCAAACGTTTAAATAAAGAGCCCTTAATTGCCACTCCTAATTTGGAACAAACGAGACCTGCCTGAGGGATTCTTCCAGTCTCTTGCATCAGGGAATATTTTGCAGAAAGCCATCATGGATGTAAAAAAATCTGAAAAGCTCTGAGCAAAGATCTGACACCCCGACATGAAAGATAATACACTTATCACTTATGACACTTCTGCTTACTTGGACTGGGCTAATACTCCTATGACTTCAGCGTAGAGGTCTGCAACAGTGTGCATGTTACCAGTGTTAGGACCATGATATCTGCAGGGAAGCAACGGAAAGGAGACTTTAGAGCATCCTAAAACTTTATATGAAACAATGCTGGTACCATTGAGAACTTACCCCTCTTTGTATCGAAAGTGCTTAAAGGCTACATTAATGACTTCATTGACCAAGCTGTCAAGGACAGGGTAGAGAGGCATCTGGGACAGAATTGGAAGACAAAATGGATTAATACAATGCTATAGTTAAACCCAAATGTGTTTTGGGTCTTAACATACTTGCAACGCAATCTACAGTATGTATATTTTATGGACGTGAGGGTTTAGTTAAGTCACCTGTTTCAAAACCTCTATAAGTACAAGAGAGAAGATGAAATCAATGGCCAAATCTCTTCGTTCAAGTAGATAATCTTTCTGCTGCTCATCACTGTTATGAGGGAGAAAATTCAGAAACAACAGGTTCATAACAACACACAAGTCAGCTTGACCTATCTGTCTTCTCATTTTATGAGGAGAACACCATGTATGCACAAACAGGTTCTCACTTTTTGGGCTTGGTGTTGGACCGTGGCCGGTACTCGTGCAGCTCCTCCTCTAGCCCGTTCTGTCTTTTGTACCAGTCGAACAAAGTGCGCAGGATTGAGGGGAGACTATATTCAGCCAGTGAGCTCATAGTACTTATCAACTAGAAGAGCAAGACACACAGTGTGCAGATGGACATTCGTAATCAGTGGTAAACATACCAAAGCAAGCGATAGGAATCAGTGCTTCCTATGTTTATTTGGACAGCAATTTCAGCTAAAATTCCAACAGAGTTGCATTTAAATCTCATCCTGAACATTTAAGCATTAACTGGAGTGAGACTAAATGAGGGCCATTTAAAGGATACATTAACTGGGAGAAATAGTCCTGAGCGGGATCACGTTGAAGGACATGGTGCCCATTGGGCAGTCTCTGGGAGCTTTGGGGGAGGGAGCTAGAGAGGAAGGAACAGGCTGGGCACACAGGAAGGGAGGAGAGTCTGGTTGGACTGGGGAACACAGCGAGCCCTTCATTCAGCACAAAGCTGCAGAAGAATCCCGGCTCTGTGAGGCTGCTGAATGGCCTTGCGCTGCAGCACAAACACACCTCTGTGGCTGTGAAAGGGCCTTCTTTGCGAAGCCACAGACATGCCAAACACACCTTGTTCTGAGACGCTGCCAGCTCGCAAGGTAAACACCCCTGCCCTTGACTGAATCTGAAAGACCTCTTGGGCTGTGAGCAGGACTTTGAGCCATCACCTCTTACATGAAGCTCAACAGGATGTAAGATATGAAAACTGATTTGACTTTTTGTATGCTCTGACTGAGGTTTTTGTAGTATTCCCTCTTGTTTTAAAAATATAAGCCTGTGTGGTTATGTCATGGTCAGATTACCTTTTAAAAAAGACAAAAAAAAAACATTATTTGCACTTACTTGGTCAAACTGAGGATCTTCGCCCCTTTGTAGAGACTTTGCTAATGGCTTTTCCTGGAAAACATAAAGAGATTTCAATGTAAATTAAAAAAAATCATCATATTTCTAAAATAAAATAAATGACAAATAGGTTCTTTAAAGTTTGATCCATATCTCATGACTCCATCTGACCTTTCAGAGGAGAGAGAAGGAGTATTTTTAACAAGGACTCATTACAGCCGGGCGACTGAGAGAGAGCTATCCATCAGTCTGCTGCCTCGCCTGGGCAGTTCAGGTCACATACAGCATTAGAGATGGCACTTTTCTGACAGCTCCTATTATCACTGTCTTTTATCATCAGAAATAACCGCCTTTAGGGGGGATTTAGGCTCCGTGTTCTTTTCTCCTGATAAATGGACAGTCCTGCTCATGCATTCTCAACTTCTGTCATCTTCATTTTTCTGATTAGGAGTCTGGATGTTAACTCAGGAGGTGTATATATGAAAAATATCAAATGTCTAACAACCTTACTGACTGGTTGAAAATGTGTGTTATCAGTCTGCCTGAACATGTTTTAGTTAACAGATTAAAAATGCAATCACCTTTTTCGAGTTTTTTTCAATTTTGTTTCTAAAGAGTACATTTAGGACAACTATACTAATTGATCCTTGTACAAATAAAAAATACACCTTTCCTTTTAGCTACCTTGATCCTCCAGACCCAATCCTTTGCTGTCTCAGTCAGGCAGCACATTGTGCCAAATCACTTGCTGAATAATCCCCCCCAAAAAAAGCTAAAAGTCTGACATGTGTGACACTGACATTGCGTGGGCTGATGGCAATATCACTCTACCCCGCTTGCTGCCGGATCACCAGCTAATCCGTGAGGGCTGATGAACCTTTTAGTTTTCAACAAATGCTTGCATCCGAGAGGCCCATCTGTCCAGGAGGGACAGAAAAGTCAATCCCCCTTTGCACTGTCAGGCTTTCACAATGCTTTGTCAGGCATCCAGCAACAAGGCTTTCAACCATCTCGGAGATTCACGGCATTCCTCTCAGAATTTATTTTCTGCCACAAAACGTCTTCAGATTATCAGTAAATAACACTGACAATGGATGAGTGGAATTTAATCAGCAAATGTACAGAAAATATGACAACGATGAGAGGACCAGAGAAGACATTTGTCCTTTGGTAATTAACGCTTCCCCACAGACTGACGTCCCTGATTTACAACTTCCTGTGAATCACACTCTCTAAAACTGGAGTTGGCACATTCACATCAGCCTTGCTGATGTACTGCCCCAAGCCAACAGTGCAGAGTATACGTCTTGTTCAAAATCACAAGGGAGTGTAACTATTTCTGGGTGAACGACAAAACAGTGACTGCTTGTGAGGTGTTTTAGCGGAGGTCTACAGTACTTTTGTTTTTTCTGAGTAAGATAGACCAGTGTATGTTTAGCTGACTTTTAGTAGAAATTTTAAGGTATGGGACTAATATAATTCTATGAACTGTTTGGAGAACTGCATAAATTAACACAAAACATTGCTTTTTTCCATCTCTCCAAATAAATGTAGTGATAAATGTAGTCTCTTTAAAAAAGAAAATGATTTAATCATAAAATAAAAAAGGCATCCTAACCACTGCCACCTTTTCAAACAGCGACCATATATCTTCCTTCTTTTCATCATTCATGCTTCATATTTCGCAATAATTGGATACAAGCCTCCCCTTATAACCCAGGTCTGAATGTTCTGGGTCAGTAAAAAGTGGAATATCGTCCACTATGAGAAGCTCTAAAACAGTCTCAGCTCTGTCTCAAGTTCTCAATAAAAACTGCTGTTTCGGGGTTCCGAAAACATCAAATCAGCAGCAGTCCTCTGGTCTGTGATTGTGCTCACTCACCAGCGGCTCCGCCATGATCATGCGGATCTTGCGATCTGACAAGGTGGTAAAGTTGGCAAACAGGCTCTTGAGGACGTATTCCCCCGGCTTGCTCTCCGGGTCGATGGTGATGGACATTATGGCTGGTGGGCCCTTTTCTCCCTGAGGGCAGCAGACTGGAGGAATGGGAGGTTTACTGTATCCGTTCCCCACCGGCGAGGCTGCGGAAAAGACACACGCAAATCAACGTAAAATAAAACACAACATTGTTAATTAGAGCACGGATGAGTGGGACGGTACCGGCCAATCCGAGCAGAAAAGGATATCACCAAACAGTTCACCGCTGAGAATTTTCCAAACATGGGCAGAAAGTTCCCAACATGTTGAGCATTCCTGAGTTCATCTGTCTAAAGGGCACCGGTTTGCCCTGGCGCTGCCCTTTCTTTCCAAAAGCTACACAGAACAGGGCACACATGGAAATTAATACGCCATGGCTAGCAGCTGGTGTTTTCATTTCGTACCAAAGATGTCATTACCCTTTGAGGGCAGTACGACTGTTGCGCGTGTAACAATCCTTTAGCTTGTGTTGTGATGTATACCGTGTTTAACCCTGAATTGATTTCACATTAACAAAAAAGTCTAATGAACCAACTCTAGATTACAATGATCTGTTTTCAGATGCAAAAATCAGACCTGTGATACTTTCAGTTTGCCTGAAAGTCTGCAACCACAAACATAAGCCAAACAAACTCCTAAATCTGCTGTGAAAAATGCAGAAATGACAGGGTAGACTAACTGCCTTTCACTGATACCAAATTTCCCCTCCTGAGAGGGTAACAGTGTGCATCTGCAGGCAATAAAAATGAGAGCAAGTACAGCCTGCAGTCTTTCAGAAGCATGTAGCAGTTCATGTATCAAAGTCATATGCGGATAGTGTCACAACGTTTGGCATCTTTAAGGCATCAATAACTTGGATTTCTTCAAGACTGCTTTGAAGGTGAGGCTAAATAGCTCAGGTTAATAAGGCAGAATGAAGAAGAATGAAATGAAAATAATATTTCATTTGAAATGAACTAAAATCCAAGTATCATTCAAACATCTTCAAGACATGAAGGCTTTATAACTTTCAAAGCAAGTTGCTAGGGAGTTGTGGCTAAACAAATGCCTAAAACAATGCAGTAAAAACCAAAACTAGTTTATGTAAACCTATCTTTTCTGATATAAAAGCAAAAGACAAAAATTTGAAGTAATACACAAAAGTAAAGGGGAGTTTATATATCTGTACAAGAGTTAATCTGAAGAAGATGAGCAAACTTCCCCATAGAAACGCTTCATAGTATGAAACTCTGATCAACAGAAAAGCTTGCGGCGCACAGACTTAGTCCATCTAGACCTCACAGGACAAGGCAGGTTCTTTCGAGGAATTCCCAGCATGTGCCGTGAGCTTTTATGGTTTCAGAACATGCTCTCCTCATTTGAGGCCACTCAGCACCTACCCAGACCCTTAATGAAGCTGATGACGCTGGCCTTGCTCCAGCACACAGCTGTGCCGTCCATGGTGGGGAAGGAAGATAAAGTATCCAGGGTTGTCCTGAACCGGGATAAACCCTTTGCTAGTAGAAACCACCATCTCCCACACTTTGTGTGTCAGCTTGCTCTGTCTTCCTGGGTAGAGCCTCCATGGTGCGAAAAGCCAGCAGCGGGTGTGCTTTAAAAATGGGTTATTATGGGTACTAAAAAGTAGAGTTTGGAAGAGGGGACAGCGCTGTAGATCTCTAGCGCTCTCTGAGCTGCTGCCGCTATGGCCTCCTCTTGCCTTGTGACCAACTGGTGCCTTCCAAGAGTGAAGGTCAGGCAGGAATTTTTAGCTACACAGTGATGAGGTCCAACATGCTATGGTGGCATAGTTGTTTCACTATATTTATCCCAGGGAAAACACTATACTGACAGAGCAGCCCTCCCCTGTCTGTGATCTAAGCCACGAGGTCCAGACCAACAGTGTGTAAACCCGTCAGGGAGTCTGTCATTTAACAGCAGTGAGGAGGTTTTGTCATAAAAACAACAGGTTTGGGTGACCTATCAGCCCCAAAATCGGTGGCTAAATATGTTTTGTTTCCAACAAGTTGCAAGAGTCTCAAGAGACGATGTGTAAAGAAAGAGACCAGTGTTCATATTTAGCTCTGGGCTCTGTGCAACGTCTCACATACGACATGTGACTCTGCAAACACAGAGCTGGGGCACAGCGTACATTACATCATCTCTAAGCTGGAAACACCCTGAGCATGGTGGTGCTCCCAAGAGGACAATGCGACCAGGCTAACAAGCATCTCACACACAAGCACACATATAATGTAGTCCAGAGAGACATTCCCACTGAGTAAACATCCACTTTAGCAGCCATTTGTGAAAAGAGTGGGTGGATATTTAGTAACCCCTGACCTCTTTAACTGGACCGCAAATTCCAGCATGAACAAGGGCCTCTGAGAAAACCTTGTTTCTCTTCTGAAGAATACACTTATGCTCTTTTCTGAAAATGAGGAACACTGCAGGTGACAGAATTGACACCCCCCACACACATACACACATATCATTACATTGTATAATGTTAATTTCTTCTAAACATGAAATTAAGATGTCTAGAAAAAGCTGATCACAAATTTCTGTAGGTTTATTTAGGTCCTAAGGAAAAAAATAAAGAACAGGAGAATCAGTTAAAATTCAGATCTGCTATTGTAACTGGAACTCCCTGATAAATAGAAAACATTTCAGTTGTTAGAAATATTCTGTTGGAACATACAACTGGAATGTTTCTATAATAGTCTAAAGTGATTTCTTTTAGCTTAAGTATTTATAAGAGTCTCTTCAAATGAGAACAGTGAAAAGCTCTGCAAAAAGCAGATTAATCTAAACTATTGATTGTCAGTGATGTTTGAGAGAGCTGGAATCAAATGAAAGCAGCTGTCTGCTGTGAGAGGGCATTTCAGGCCAATTATATAAATTTAAAAGCCTGAATCTGTCTTTCCCAGCATAACAGAATGGATCCCTTTATATAGGACTATAGTGACTGTCCAAATAGTACTTTTTTTCTCCTGAAAAATGGAGCAGAAATACAGCATGGCATGCAGTTACACAGTGCTGAACATAAAAAGACTGATTTAAGACTTAAATGTGATGCAGATACTGAATTATGACTAAAAAGTAATAACCAAAAACAATTATAATACTGAAAAAGTAACAGATGTAAAAAAAAAAAATCTAAAATAAGATAAGTCACTGTGCAAAATAAATCAAATTAGAACATGTTTACTTTTCAGAGCAGTCATCCACTGATCTGATTGGCTGATGGAGGGCTGGCCCTCGGGCAGTTTGGACACCTGACCTGTCACTGCAGCTGCACAATGCCAGTTCTGTGCCGCTGTTTGCCATTGTTTTATCAGAGCTGGACACTCTGACTTATCAAAGACCAGCTTATAAAGGGTTTCAACACTGTTTACTTTCCTGTCATAATTCCAACAGCAACTGATGGTTAGAAAACATGGAATGTTGGTTGCAGAATATTAGCAGCCGATAAACATCTGTAGTGAATTTAGATCAATCTTTATTACATTTTTCTCTCTTAATTGAGCCATGCATTACATAACAGATTTGCACATGTGTGCATACAGATGGGATTAAGAGATCACGTATTTAATAAAAGTGTTAAATGCTGATACAGCGCATTGACGGCCTGGGCCTTTAGAAAAGTGACCCACTGTGAGGATTATGTAACATCACCAGGAGATGGCTCAGTGCTGAATGTTTGGACAGGCACAGACAGTTCTATGGTATCTCTCGACATGCAGATTCACCTGATGTGTGTAAGGTACAACGATGCATGAGAGATGGAGCTGTAGCCTTTCAAACTTTAGACAGTAGTGGGTTTTTAACTCAAAGTGTTTAGATGTAGTTTAATGTATTTTTTCTTTCAACATTTCCGAAGGTTTTTTCTGTCAACAACTCCTGATATCTCACTAAAAAGAAGACTAGTGCATTGAGCAAAAGCAGGGCAGTTTTCCATCATAGCTTTTCCAGTGGAAGGCAGTGAGCTATGGACAGAACATGCAACCAGGCTGAACCTCAACTAATCCTATTACTCTGTCCGTCTACTTATAAGAGATGTGTAGAGCCTGTCAAAGGACAACACAGAAATACAGCCAAGAGTTTTGGGGAAACAGAAAGAAATAAGAGGGAGCTTCACCCTCAGCAATAAAAGAAAAAGAAAGGAAAGAAAAAAGAAAAGAAAAACCTAGTGACTGATGTCAGACCCATAATATTGAGCTCCGCTGTGATAATGAGCACTAATAACCGTTGCATTACTGAGAGATGACTAAAAAATGCTGCACTCTGTCACTCAAAGTACAGTAAAGAGTCATCCTGGTTTGCAGCTACTGATTAACTGAACACTGAAATTGTGGGAAATGAGGAAAACGTGGCTAAAAAGTGGTGCCTCCCCCCAAAAAAAGCAGCAGCCGCGCTCCGCTGAGCACTACAACAAGACATATACTGCTACTCACTTCCACTCAGTGATTTCAGCAGGGACTTGATGCTGATTTCAAAGAAGCCTGAGTCCTGCTGGCTGGCCATGGCTGCAGCGACGCCCCCCCCCCCTCTATAGACTCTAGATGTGGTTTCCCTCCTCCTGCAGCAGCACCGGGCAGCAGGTAGTGACCGCTGTCACTCCTCTGTGACGCATGCAACGCTGTGCTGACCGGAGCCTGAGAAAACACCCCAGCCCTGCTTCACCCCTCCTCCTGGCTATCAGCCCTCCCTCCCCTCCCTCCCTCCACATTCTCTCAACATCTCTATCTCTCCAAAGCTCTGGCAGGCAGTGGGCGGCAAAGCAAGCTGCCTTTAAATAACCGCGCAGAGGCTGAGAGTGCAGGAAGCAATCCTCTTAGCGGAGTGGAGTTAATAATAACTACTGTTTGTCTGAGTGCAGGGCCTGGTGATGATGAGGATGACAGTGTGTCGTTCAGCATGACCGGGAGAATTTCCACGGGTCACCGACACTGACAAAGTGGGAATTGGGAATTCAGGAGGCATGAGACATTGCAGGAAGCATCTGGAGGAGACTTAAATTGATCAATGGGCAGATGTGACCAAGTGAATCCAGAGGATATGGAGGGGAGCAGGAGATGACTGCTGGCTTTTAACCTTTCAACATTTTCACAGCACTATCTTTCAAGAGCTGTCAAATAAGGACAAATATGTGCTCTTGACTATCATGCAAACCAATGTTGCTGATGGACTTGAATCTTGCTAAAAAAGACGTTCCAAAATTAAACACATTTTTATGAATTGATGCTGTTGACGGATAATAAATTGATTAAACAATTTTACAGAAAAATATTTAAGTTATTAATGAACAATCCGCAAATAGAATCAATCATTCATCATGTCAACACATTTTCCAGCCAAATTAAACACAATTGTTACAACTCAATTTATAGTTTTTTGGTGGATTTTAGGTATGATGACCAATGTAAGTAAATCTAACTAAATTCCCTTTTTTTTTTAAATAAATATACACTTCGTTTCATGATATTTGAACGATGGGGGTTGCAAAATGGTGTAGAGGAATGTTTCCTCAGAGGGTTCTTGGATGTGTATTCCAGCTTTCTCCCGTCGTTCAAAAACAGCCCTCTGTGATGGAGCAGCAACCTGTCCAGAGGTACGTTTAGTAACTCTTTACTCTATGAAAAGCGGATGTCTTCAGTCAAATGGGCTACAAACACATCCACCAATCCCCCCTCTGCTGCTGCCTTTCAGTGCTCTTAGTGTAATCCTATCAAAGCTCTGTCTGTCCATCCAGTGACGGCCACTTGACCTTGGTTACATAACACACTATGTGATGGAGACGCATCACTGCTGTTTGCACTCTTTGGTAAACATATATTTCAATGTTCTGTTGTCTTTCTGTAGCCAGAACATCACCCGAAGGCTGGTTCTGTGGCCCTGGTGCCATCATAGAGCCATGGGCCCTGTGTTAGTCAAATACTGTGCAAATACTGCATGCTTCATTGTTTAGTCATTAGTAATGATCATCAGTTTGTTTGCTGGGAAAAAATATTTGAGATTGCTATTCTTTATGGACAAATTCTTATAATTTCCAGTATACAAATCAGTACTTATCATGGGGAATGCATGGCATATTCTCAAAAGCAAAACAGTACAAAATGAAAACAGATAAAATGTGCTATTTAAATACTGGGCAGATTTTATGTCCATCATTTATAATCTCATCTGTCTGAATTGCCCAGTGAGGGGCAAATGGTTATGTAATTCCCCTGATTATTAATTTCAGCATTGCTTTCAACAAGACTCCTATAAACAGGAAGAAGTTTAAGTAGAAGCAGACGAGTAGACTCCTGGTCTGGAATTGAACTCAAAGAAATGCAACATATAACCAACAAAGGCAGAGGTAAACTCAATTCTGTCTGAAATAACTGTGTAGCTTACAGTACTATTGAAAAAATCTTTTAGGCTTAAGCGGTTTTTCAACATCAACAGAGGACCTGCGCTTCCTTAAAAACTGCTCACACCAGAGTGTAAACATTGATTCTGTTCCAATTTGCCAAACTTCCTATGAGTTAGGAAGCAGTAAGAAGTGATGAAACTGCCAGGGTAAATGCAGCCAAACACACAGCAGTGGCAGTCTGCCGGCATTATGGATACGATCGGTTTCAGCTCTAAAGATAAAAAACAGCTCACTGATACTCTCATATTCACCACACTTGTGGTTTGTTAATCAGCAGCTTCTCTATCGGCTATGTTTTCTCTCAATAGTAAGCTGATTAAGTCAGAAAAGCATAGCTGATTATAGAAATGATTGCGAACATCTTCCTCTAATTAGCTGTAAGTGGGCAAAGCCACCACCACATCAAGCACCTATTAAAAGCATTACCAAGCTCTGATGGAGGAGAGGAATGTGAGCTATGTCTGTCCAGTAGAAGCATTTTTGTGATTATCAAGTTGAAACCCTTCATTCCCTACAGCCATCGCTACTTTATCTTGCAAACCAACTCTTATCTTGAGCGTCCCTTTTCCACCAAGTTTCCTGATGTTTCTTTGATGCTTGAACATCAAAGATGTTAAAATATTTCTTTTCCCATTTCAAACACAAGTCTTATTTTTGACTATGAGTTTAACTACATTGAAACTGTGCACTGTACTCCCCACTTGCCTAAGTCCATTATTAACAAGCAAGTAAATTCCTATGTGGCTATGACAAATATAACAAGGAGGTGAGGAATCTAACAAAGTGATGAGAATAGTGGCCTAAAAGCTGCTGAGTCGTGCCCAAAAATCCTATTTCTCACAGATCCAAAACTCTGATTGATCGCCACAGCTTAAATAAGTAAAGAGACAGTGCCTACTTTCAAGAATGGTGGGCCTCTTCTTCTGGCGCATCTTTTTAAACTTCCCTCTGAAGTCTCTCGGTGGGAACGGCTCCAGAGGTGAACTGGAAATGCGGCCCAGGACGACCTCGTCCCGTCCCTCAGAAAACGCCGTCTCACTTTCAGCCGAGTTTCTCACAGCATTCTCCTCTAAAGACATGTTGAATGGCAGGAAGCCCTCGGCCTCTTCTTTCATTCTTCTGAAGGAGTCATTTGAAGCAGATCGGGGTTCTTCCACACTCCTCCACTCTCCTCCTTTCTTGTCTCTTAAACGGTCTTCTCTGAGCCGTGCAGCTGTGGGGAGATGTGGCCACTGTTGCCAGCCTCAGCCTCCTAATGGGCTTTAACCCCTACACTTGTCAGGGCAGTTCAGAAATGTACAGTTACATTCATAAATTGGGCAGGTATTGGATTACTTGGACAGTCCCTCCTCTTTTTTAGCAAAAAAAAGGCTCGAGCCAGAAAAAGAGGGGCAAAGTCATGACTAAAGGGGGCGGGAGAGGAGCAGAGAGGCTGGTCTGACAGCTACACTATGCCTGCCTACTGTATGCCCATGAGGCAGTCCTGAATAAATATCCTGTATTTGTCTTGTATTCCATCCATCAGTCTAAACACACAACTCTTCCTCTTGACTTGAGACTTAAGGTGAACAGCAATAACATATTCTGACATGCCTGATAAATAAATTCATCTTAAAATTCTGCCCAAAACAAATGTACATTCCCAGAAAAAATGCCTTCCATGCGTACAGCCCGTGTTGACTTCTTTCTCACATTAAAATTCATAAAGCTCGAGAAACATTCAAACAGCCTGCAGCTTCATCTCAATCGAGTCTTTTTCAACCACAGAAGTGAACACAAACCGGACACACCTAAAACATGAACCAGTTTTTCCCAGTCTGACCTACATCAGCGAGACAAACACCCTGTGTGTGTCAGTGAAATGAAGGCGTTTTCTGTTTTAGGAGGAGAGAATAAAGCAAGGAACAATCAGCCAGCACACTCGTCTTGTCATGATACTGATATGTTTGTTCAAGCTTTGGCCCAACAACACATTTAAAGATGATTTGCTCTACTTAACATGAAGAATTGACTTATTAAAACAGACAATAACTGCCCACGAGGTACGGGAGCCATGTTTTTCTTTGGAGTAACGAGTGTTGAAGTTGTAACAGCCAAAAGAAAACATTCTTTAAGAAACACTCCTGCTACAGAATGAAAGCTGTCAGATGTTCATTAATCAGGCCATCGGGGTTGTTGAGTCTAAATGACATCTTCCAGTGATCGCGGCCTACTTAAGACACCCTCATGATCTTAGGAAAAGAACAAATAGAAGTAAAGGCTGCTTGGTGATTACGAGTTTAGTTTGAAGTAAAAACACAAGAAACACCCACAAAAATATGTGCACCGGTGTATACAATTAATTAAATTAGTGAGAAACTTAAAACTAGTCGCAATGGGAGTCGCAGTTGGGCGAATGTAAAAATGAAGACATTATTAATAGAAGCTATCATCTTAAGCTTTATAATAATTAAGTAGTAGTAGTAATAATAAATAATAAAGTATAAAGTAATAATCAGTAGAATAACTAAATCTGAGAAGTGAAGCCTGTACTGTATTACAGGATGTTATAGTAGCAGTGCACCCTCTAGTGACAAACAAAAATATCATTTACACTATTGGTAAGAATAGACATATATGTCACTTATTCAGGCAACCTGCTTATTGTGTCTCTGTTTCGTCTGACTTCTGAGAGCAATCTGTTACCATAAGAACACAATTATTGTAAGGCGCACTCAGAAAGGAAATGAGGGCATCGCTGCCTTCGTTTCCTTATTTTGACAAATGCTGTGCTTTACAGCACATTAACTGCCAACTAACAACTGAATTAATGTTGATAACTAGTCACTTTACAACAGATTAGAAAATATTGCACAATTTATTTATAGACCTTTAGAAATGTGACATTTCTACATAATATGTTTGTTTTTTGTAGATATTTACAAAAAAGACCTAAAGATCACATCTTTCCCTGAACCGTGGTCATATTAATATCTGATCAAACCGAGGGAACATTTGAGCTGAAGAACAAAGTCAAAGTGAGGCTCTGCTGTCTTTATTTTGTCTCTTGTCGTGGAGTAGACCCAGAAGTTTCGCTCCCGCTGAAACCAACACCCTCTGGTGGAGCCAGAAGGCTGTTTCCATGGTGAGACACATTTAGATTTGCTCTGGCAGAGCAGACTGAGATGAATAATTGATAGATATCAGGTCCTGCTGAAGGTTAAGAGCCGTGCACGTGAACTGTTCAATTGCAATGCCTTGCAACAAGT